AAATCTTGTAGGAAAAAATAAAGATCACAGAAATAAAGTCACAGAAAAAAGTCTAAAAATATTCGGAGAAATTTTTTGATTTTATTTGTTGAGAATTGCAAAATATTGCGCGTTATATATGAGGGGGAAAAGGATGGTGTTTTTAGCAGCATATTTATAAACATCGACATTAAGGTTTAAATTTATTAATTTTATAATCCGACTTTCATTAATAAGAAATGTGCATACCAGTATTAGCAGCCTCATTTTTTGTTATATTTTTGTTTGTGAATACCCGTTACAATATTAATTATAAAAGAAGTTGGGTTTTTTTTTTGGTCGTAGGCCTTTTCTCAGACTCTGATTGCTAATCAGCTTTCTTGACGTACCCTTAATTAAAATGCCCACATAGGGTGACCGCACACCTCTCGCCCCCTAAGTTTGAGCGCATCAAACCCACCAGTTCAACCGTTCTGCTGTACACCCGCCCCGTGTTCAATCAGTAGACCCCGCCCCACCTGCTGGCGATTGATTTCCTGGCGGCAACCGTCACGTGACACGCCCGCATGTCGATCAAATCCATACTCGCAAACAATGATATACCGCCCTCGCGGTGACCTTCGACCTTTGCAGATTACAGATACAATTTTTTTTTCTTCTTACAGTAAGGTCTTCAGCGAACACATTCTAATATATAATTTGTAAATTGTGTGATCAATTGCGACATTGGGGTTAATATTAGGGTACCAAGACGATAATTATTGGATGTAGTTTTAATCGTATGCAGAGTCGTAGCTAGGGTGGGGTGGAGGGGGGGGGGCCTAGGTAAACATGGACGTATGTGTATGTAGGCTATATACACACATTTAATCTGTCTACGATTACTCACTACAACAAATACCATAACAATTACACATATACTGATGTTTTGATTCCATAGTTGCAATACTATCAAGAAATACTTGCCGGGTGGGTGGGGAGGGGGTGGATATCAGATATTTCTCGAGCTCATATAGGTACCGACAGGGAAGTACAGCAAGCTATCGTACCCAGAGTTTATCCCGGGCTTACACAAAATATATACTTTTACCAATGTCTCCCCCACCCCCCACCGAAAGTTTCAAGTGCCCCCCCCCCCTCCTGTGAAAAAAGTCTAAGAGAAACACTGATCGCACCCATGTTTTTTTTTTAATACCTTTGCTGTTATTGCTGCTCGAGTTAGCTAGGTCTTCGTGATAGGTAGAGCTTTAAGAATAATGACTTTCTACACCTATATAAACATAATGTGGGGGTCGAGAACAGGACTGTGTGACCAGGGTATTACTAGCAGAACCCCCCTCCCCCCCTTTCAACTCACGGGGCACTTGAAACTTTCGGGGTGGGCGAACACAGGTTAATTTTTTTTCTATTTTTAATATAAATAAATATTTTTGTTCTATTTTGTACGGAGGATGGGGGCAATAGACGTGCTCCGGGGAGCCGTGCGCCCCCTCCCCCCATGCGGTCTACACGTTAATTGATGATGGCGTCGCGACGAGCCGCATTCAAAGGCTTACCGGTGGTTGGCATTACACATTGCAGGCTAGGACTTCTGTGAAGCACTCTTTTAAGACATTTAAATATCACGTGATTTCCTGTGCTAGAAGAGAGAAACTAGGTCAACCATACTGATTCCTGAGTTTTGGACTTGACTTTTTTTTTCATTTACGAAATTTATGTATGTTTTTTTTTAAACCTAGATCTGTTACAACATTAGTGTAATTAAAACGCCGTGTAACATATGGAATGATAATGATAACATTACAAATTAAAAACTGAATACAACAAGGGATCGCAACACACGAATGTCACTATACAGCACACACACACACACCGTTACCTGATCGCCAAATGTGACCTTAACCCCCATAATTCTTATCCGAGTTCTATAGTATTAATACGATATAAGGATCAGTGTTTCTTCCAGACTTTTTTCTCCGGGGGGGGGGGGGGCACTTGAAATTTTCGGGGGGGGGGGGGGGGCGGTAGACTTTCTTCGGGGGGGGGGGGGCGGACACTGTTAAAAGTATATATTTTCTATATAAATTATATAAATTTCATTTCGTTCGGGGGGGGGGGGGGGGGGGGGCGATAAAAAATTTTCGGGAAGAGGGGGGGGGATGCCATGAAGAAACTCTGATAAGGATAAATATAGCCGATACAATCAGTGTTAAGATGTGAGCATATAAAAATCATTATAATTTACCCCACCCATCGTTTGGTGGATGGGGGGGGGGGGGGGGGGTAACTACCTTTGGAAAATCTCCACATTTTTTATTATTAAAAAAATGTTGTCTACATGCATTTTGTCTTTATCTTTATTCAACCAACAACTACTGTAGGCTAAATTATGATGTTCGCTTTGTGGTACCTGCTGTCGAAATAGAAAAAAACAATTTCACTCATTTTATTTTATTTCAGATCGACACTGGTATCGCTGGTAGAATTGGTATCGCAGGTAGAAACTACATTAAACACGAAAGTATCGATCCACACAAAACTCTTGTACTCAAATGATACACATACTTTTCATTTTAATTATATAGTGGAGAAAATAAAGTTCTCTATAACACAAATTCAGGTACTGGTTACTGATAGGCAGAGAGGACTTTACTTCGGTGGGTATAATCGATTATGCTCGCCGGAGATCGAAGATCGATTCTAAATCTCACAAAATCTCCTTGACGTAAACTAGGTTACTAGGTCACAACACACGATTTGCTGTGTTGGGCCGCAGCATGGGGTTGTTTGTAGTATATTTTATCTACCATTACTTCCATGTGTTTGACTAATGCATTTTGCTCCGTACTTTTCGATTAATCATTCCCATATTTTCCTGATGTTATTACGACCACTAATAATGCCTCGACTCCATTCTAACACTAGTCATTGCTCTAGCCTTAATTAATAAGGGTTAAGTTAAGGTTTTAAATATCCCTTAACGATTCGAAATTTTTAAAATTTCGAATCGTTAAGGGATATTTTAGGTATGATGCCATTGCAAATCGATAAACACAGTTTCTTGAGGTCTAACGGAGCAGTTTAGTATTTATAATATAACTAGATCCTTTATCGTTCTATATAAATAAGGAGGCAATACAACTAACTAGGCCCTAGACTCTATACACCAGTGAGCTTTCCCACACACCTCATATTCACGACAAGCCTCAACCTATCCCTAACCTAACCCCTCATCTCCAACTCGGGCCGTGTGGGCGTTTCGTCTGATGGAAAGTGATTTTGTTTTAATTAGCAGATGTGTGATAATAGTGCCATTTCGCTAAACCCCGAGATCCAATGATAAAGTTCAGGAAATGCCATTAGTCAACAACTTATGTACATCAATGTTTGTCAGTAGCAAAGGACATAATTAATTAGATAATGAATGGCAGAATGGTAGGGAGATCTAGTAAGCGTGGAGCACAAACATTTTATAGTTTATATCAAATTATAATTACGTAATAATTTATTATAACTTTTAACTTGCGCAGGAAGATGATTTTAAACTAGACCCAAAACACAAAAAAAAATATATAAAGCTTGCCAGCTCCTAGACCTAGATAATTAAATTTGCATTGAACTATGATCAGGTTGAACGTGAAATGATTCTGCTTAAAAATATCTGAAATATTTAGAACCAAGATAGGCTATTCGGCTATATGAACATGAAGCCTCCATTAGGCTGAGGCCTTTTGAGAACCACTCGACTTCTGATGATTTACACTTACTGATATGGATTCATTGTATGCCTACTATTTCAGCTTTATTAATGCAGTGGTAGCCCAAACAGCATAGGGTGGCTTTGAAGAGAAAAAAAGTTTTCCTTCTAGATTCTAGATCTAGATAATAAAACAACGTTCCACCGAACCCACTTAAACTTTCTTAGCCTTTCGCCTCATCATTCGCCCTACCGCTGGGAATGAGATAATTAAAAATTAAAACACACTGCGAGCACACTTTAAGAAGAAAAAAAGACTGACATAAATATAAAAAACGCCATAGCCACATACATCTAATAATCTAGCTCACTTTCTACAGCCATAAAATTAAGCTTCTCGAAGTACCAACTAATGCCTGCTAAAAACAAATTGACACATCAAAATCCAACGGCTTTAACTTTACCAAAACCCATTAGCCAGCCTAATCGACTGTATCCATCTCAATTATAATATTATCTAGTCGATAGATCTCTATTCTATATGCCATACATTAAAAAAAAAAACTCTTTAGGAAGGTATTCAGTGAAAGACTATTAATATAAGGAATATAGACTTGTTTAAGCGTGGCAGTATTATTTTTTTTTCAAATGAAAACGTAAATTATTAAGTTGGGAAGAATTAGATCTAAATTTACGCACTGCTGAACACTGAGTGTGACAAAGTAACAGCAGCGCCGCCCTTAGGTCGATGTAATAACCATAACACACCGTGTTCCTGTTGCACACACCAAGCCGGTTCTTAATGATTTTTCCCCCACACCCATTTTATAACGATTAGTAGACGATACAGTATTATTTCAGAGGAGATGGCTTAAACCCAAGCACGAGTTTACTACTACTGTGCAAACTTTTGATCCAACACACAAACCTGACGGATTCTCATTCAAATATCGAACCATTGCCTATGCCAAGACTAGGCAAAAAGGAATCCATGAAACCGCTACAGGCTGTGTGGCCTAAACTCTATTGATCACAGGCATAGATACACCCAGGTTGTTCAGAAGAAATGTTGGAATATTGATCATTTCATCAAATTGAACAATGGAAATAATGTTAAAAGCAATACAAAAATACTGTATAATATACAGTGTATATAATTAACTGTACTTCTGTGGTCTCCAATGGAGCAATATATTTTCTGTTTAGGTTAACTTCTCTGTATATCATGATTGAGAGCTAAGATAGTAATAACTTAAAGAGAACTTCAGCTCATCCCTGATGTCAAAGCTAAAAATAAAAGAATCAGTGAAGAAAAAAAACAGTATTCAATTGATCAGGTTATTTTATTACTTTGAGAAAATAAACAGCAACATACAAAGAGAACATAAGTGCAGGAAACAACTCAATGAAACATATTTTTTTGAGTTTTCCATTTGACCTTACATTTTTTTTTTTCCTTTTTATATGTGACACGCTTGAGAGAATGCTCTCAAGCAGTTGAGAAAGTAACAGACTGTCATTATATGAAGAATAATAGTATATCATACAAACTGTACAGGATGCATTCATTTACTGTTGCCCATGAGACACAAGGCACAGAAAAGCTTTATCACATGTTCTGTACATAGGTATTGGTTACAATCATGTTTGCTCTCATTAACTTGAACAAAGTGTTCAAACAAACAAAAACTGAACACGGTAAAAACATATTATAAACAATTGAGAACATCCGCTAAATTCATTAAAGTAGCTGTGGGAGGGGGAAAAATGAATTAAAACAAAGTTGATAAGAAAACAATTTGTTACCCTATATATAGCAAAGAGTGAAGAGATACAACACAATAAATATCACATTAAGATCTATCTTTTTAGCACTCCCAAAATTTCTTTTAGATCATACCTTGCTCCATTTATTGCTCTTATGCAACATAGTTTAATTATCACATTCTAAAAAGTATTGGTTAATAAAAAAAAAAAAAACATGCAGTTCCTCCTTCATACATAGGCTTAATTAAAAACTAGGAATTCTGTGAACAGCACAAAAAAATTATATAATTTAAAACATTTGCTTCTTCCAGATCATAGTAACTTGTGAATAAAAATTAACAGACTTCATGCTGTTTTTGAGTATACTGAATATCCTTTGTTAATTAAAATTTTAATTTATGATCTTAATATTAATTAAGGCAGTTAATTTTCATGTTATAGGACAGTCTGATGTCTCAAATAATGGATTAGACTAATTTCTTTTAAAACCTAATAGATCTAGATCAAATCTTAAATTTTGAATAAAATGTAAAAAAAAAAGTATTACAAAATAAATACTCCAAAAACAATGTTACATTTTTTTTAACAATATTAAAGCAAAATGAATGTAATTGTGTAAAATTATAGTTTGTATTAATAAACTAACTTAATTTTAACATAAAAACCATTTCTAGCAAAAAAAAAATGAATGAGATCAAATTACTATGAAATAGTAAATAAAAGTGAAAAAGAATACAATACTTGTTAGCAAAATAGTAATTTGTGTATACATGAATTTATTTACTGAAAAAATATCTGATAGACTGTGCTAGGGGATTCAGTTATATTGATACAATACTACACAGCATAAATCAAACTCACTACATGGACTACTGTTTCATTCATCAAATTTAAATAACAATGCAAAAGTATAATGGTGTTTGCTGGGGGTATACTTTAAGCTATAGTAATATTACATGTAGAGACGCAAAATCATTCTACACAAGAATATTTGAAAAATACAACAAGCAGTGCAGTTAGTTTGGTACTAAAACATAATCAATTGTCTGCAAGTACCGAGTGAAAGCAGCCATGAAATGCTTCACAAATTAGCTGCCAAAAGTACAATACAACACTGAAAATATTTTTTTTTTACAATATCGCATTGTAATTCAACTTCATGAACATAGACTGTTTTGAAAAATATACACGCATTTATTATTGATAATTCTTTTGTTAAAATGTGCTTTAAACTACGCCCAGAAACACTGCTGCAAAAGCTACAAATGTTTTATCATGAAAAGTTATTAGCTGCTTTTTATTTTAGAAAGAAGTTTGGTTTACCTGACTCATAACAAAATTATTTCAATCTTTTTAAATTGTTTTTTTTTTCCAAAAAAAAAGTTTAAAATTGTTACATTTTTAAAATTCTATTATTTATTACTTTTAGAAAACATATCTTTTTAAATTATTGGAAAAGACTTATAAACAATTTGATAAAAACAATTCTTTTAAAAAAAAATATAAAAAGTTAAAAGAAGCTTCTATTGAATTATTTTAAAAATTTGAGATGTGCAAGCCACAGATGTTTAAATTTGCATCTTAAAAAAAAAAGAAATAGTAAAATAACACTCAAAATTCAACATAGCTATACAACTTTGCTTGTCTGCTTATGTGAGGTACATAGAGTTGTTTACCAGTAGTAGTAGTAGTAGTAGTAGTAGATTTAAAGGGAAATAAATGATTTGTGAAGTATCATAGTTCACCACAAGCGGTCACCGTCCCATAGTCAGCAAAGTAACTATCACAGAGTATATGATGCAAACAGTAACAAAAAAAAAAAGTACAGATACAAATGCTTCTTTTTAAAAAATGGTCACATGATCAAGCATGAAGTTACAGAATAGACTAAAAACCCTGATCATTATGGATTAAACAATCCAAATTTATTCTTATTAAATGACTAAAAACAGTTTTATCACAAGCCAATGATAGGACAAAATGTTATTTCTTTGCTTAGTATTTACACAGGTAACAATTGAATGGGTTACTGGTTGACGAAAGACTTCATAGTGTATTTCTTAAGCGCAACAGTCTTGTAAAACAAAACAAAATGTCAAAAGTTTTGACGAGAAAATCCATTGTTTTAGAATTCTCCCCTAGGCCATCATTTAAATATTATTGCGTAAAATAGTTAAACATGAAAACATGACCTGCAGGCATTGATATATAATAAAATGCAAACATGAATGCTACTATAAGTTATAAAGTATACTATAATGAATGCCATTTTGTTTGAATAGTGGATTACTTCTTGGAAAATAAAGGTTTGACTTAGACATAACATACAATAAGATCTTAAATATTGTGCTAGGAGTTACTATAATATATTTAACATACATATTTAAGAATTAATACCTTATTTCTGTTGACATTAAGTTCTTATACTTTTAAAAAACAAAATAAATAGTTATGATGCCTAAAACTGTTCTACTTTTGTAAAATTCATACTGGTATGTTTTTTATGTTAGAATTTATAATTATTGACTATATGAGGGTATAATTGTGTCTTTTTGTTTTTACCACATAAACACTGGGGACAATTGCTGCCTCTCATTTTAAAGAAAGGAAAAGTAGAAATAATCATAATGTTGAATATATTACAGAATTGAATGTCATCTGATACAAAACAGTAAGGACACTGAACAAAAGTACACAAATGGTGCTGCTTAATTCATCTCACGCGATATCAAATTTAAGCATGATATGATATGAATGCTACCTCAGAAATCACAATGACATGGATTTGTTGAATTTAAAATAAGTCCTAATTTCCAATGGTGAACTAAAAAAAAAATCTACTACATTAGCTTTAACTCTATGACTCGACAATTAACATTTACAAAACAGTTTATTGAATAATTACTAGGAACTACAAATTTTTAAATGTAAATATAGGCCTATTATAATTTATATTAATTGTATATTTAAATAGCTCAAAGACCTTTTATTGATCACAGGTAAAGAATAACACAATATCCTTATATTTAATTAGAGTATAATTGTTTACTATAAATTGTTATTTATAAAAGTAAACACTTTTAAAAGATTTTTTTTTCATCCATTAAAAATTTGAAAATGAATGTATACATATATTTTTTTAAAAATATTTCAAAGTGACTGATGACAAAGATTGTTCTGCAAGACCTGCACTAATCTAGATAAGAAAATTGTCACTTCCATTGGGGGCTGCCTTTGAGATTGAAGCATTAACATTGGTGTTGCCATTATCTTCTTCTTTAATTCTAGCAAGGAACTCTGCGAATTCCGGCTTATTTTTCAGATTAGAAACCGTTGCTCGAGATGCACGCACCAACTCAGTCTTGAGCAGCTGGCAGCGCTGCCTGTAAAAATCTCGCTCTCTTACAGATGCACTAAGCTGGCGTTTCAAATCAGATATTTGTTGCAAAAGCGATTTGTTTGTCGTTTCTAATTCACTTTTTTGCTGCATGCGTTTCGACCGACAGTTCTGAGCATAGCCTCTATTTTTTAATGTGCGCCTTTTTTGCTTGAGGCGCTGAACTTCGCTTTTTGGACAGCCCTGCAAGCGCCTGTTCAGTTCTCTAACAGGTAATGAAACCAAATCATCATCATCAATAACAGAGCTTTCAGGGGACATAGGAGGTGAACGTACAGAGTTGCGCCTGGATGATTTGATAGAAGTCATACAACTGCTACTGGCAATACTTTGAGAATCATCTTCTACATCCAATTCGTTATCCTCATCATAATCTATATCAAACTCATTGTTACAACGCCCTGAAAGATCTTGGGTTTCTGACTTGACAGATGGTGAAACTGGGTTATGGTGAACATTTGCTGGCTCCAAAGAACGTAATAGCTCATCGAGAGTGCTCGACTTGCCATCGGGCTTAAGGGGCAAGTTGTTGACAGCATCTGAACACTGGGATCCTAGTTTTAAAAACCAGTCCTCAAAATAGCCCCGGTCTCCGAAAGCGCTGCCAAAACTGGATAACGATCGAGTAGGCGAAGGAAGGGATGACTGAGAGGTTGGTAAAGGAGTACTCGGAGAGGGAGGGATGGAGTTGATGGGAGTAGTATGAGAGCTGCTAAAATTGCTGCTAGCACCAGCTGACAATGGTGGGCTTGGGGGGACTTGCAGCTGCCCGGTGACCTGACCCGTGACCCCAGCACCAGAACAGGTTTGCTGCGGCTGGGGGGTTGCCGCACCACTGCAGAGGCCTAGTTCTGACTTTACCATGGAGCTGTGCAGCGGATGCATATCGTGCCCGTCCATGAAAAGATCGAAGCTTTCGATGTAACTTTCAGCAAGCTCATCCATGGTTGAAATGAAGGGAATAAAGTAAAAGACCTAGTTTAAAAAAAATAAAGGTTCAATGTTAGTTTGAGCCTGGTGTTGCCTCGCTCCCAAGACTAGGTCACTGGTTTTTATCAAGCCTTTTAACTTGCGAACAGTTAGCAAGCCGACAATTCGTCTTTGAGTTGTGTGTAGTTTTCTTCTGTCAACGTGATAAGAGAATTTATTCCACGTGAATAATGAAGATAATTTCACACAAAACAGAATGATAATATCCAGTTAAAATTACAAGCACGGACTGGTAGTTCACCAGCAATTCAGTCACAGCACAAATTCAACGAACTGCACAGGCTGAGAGCTAAGGCAACGACAGGCACTGAGGGGATCCCCGTCGGCTTTTATACTGCTGCATACGTCACAGCTACTATTTCAGGATCAATGTTGTTGTCAGCCAATCGCTGGGCTCAGAATACAATATTTTAGGCAGCTTGTTCAAGGCTTTTTGCGATAAAGAGGCTAAGGTGATATATGCTGGTTTTTACCGGCTGAAAGTTTCAGACTAAATAAAAACCATACAATACTACAGATTTGTAAGAAGTCATACATATTATGCTTGGAAACATTCTTGGTCTAGTAATTGATTAGATCTAGTTGTGAAAAGCAATGTTTTATAATAATTATTATGGTCAGCCTGTTGAAGCAACTGGGATTAAGCCCTCTATCGTGGGCTCGGTTTCTAGCCGGTAGCCTGCAAATTGTTTCTGAACAGGATCTGTCTATTTTATAACCGAAATTGTCAATTTAAAAACCACCGAATGAGAAACATTCTGCTCATATTTGCTCACTGTCGGAACTTTTTAACTATGGCCGGCGAGATCGGCACGTGCCTACTTCATGTTTTACATGCGTCCTTCACCTTCGTAAAACAATTTTAAATAAAATTGTACTATTTCTTATTTACACAATTTAAAATGTATTTAAACGTGTACTTGTCAGAATTTCTAGTATTTTAATAGCGAAAGATATTTTTTAAAACCATTTTCTAGTGCCGGCATCAAAGTCCCCGTTTTAAATGTACAGATCATCACTATAAATAGAAACTGCTTCCACGAAACCTTTAACCTCTCTCCTTTCCCTTTTGCGGCACAAAACCGTCTTTGAATCTCATCGACCGGCGTTGTTTAGCATAATATAAATCCCTGTCCATATTCATCTGAATAGTTATGATATTAATTCCGACATCCAAGTTAAATTAGTAAGCAGGGCTGTGATTGGGTATAGGCCTACAGATGCACATAAGGGGCCTAAAGTGTTGGATCAGCTGGAGGCCTATATCATGTTTAGTCAACTTTGAAGTAGTGGATAGTTAAGGCTTTAAAGTTTAAGGTCACTCTAAGACCTACACATTTTACTCATCGGCCTGCTATTTTAACTGAAGGCTAACTATCGGTTACCTAGAGTGAAAAAAACGAACTCAGTTTAAAAACTAACAAACGCCTATTTGTTAATGATAATAATAATAAAAAAACCCACAAGTTTTCTACCTAATTAGTTAAATAGGCTATATGCACCTTTACATTCGAAATAAACAACACTACCTACACATGTAATGTACCGATAACAGTTGAGTAGATAAAAAAAATTAAAGCAACGAAAATGCCCCCCCCCCCCCCCCTCCATTGCAAATGGGGAAAAATACTGTTAAGAAATTATAATAGATAAAACATTCTGCCATTTAGTTGTACAGTCAGTTACGTAGGCACACAAGTGACCAAGCGTGTGCCTGGACAACACACAATGTTGTACTCTATAGAGATGGGAGAAAGTGGTGGTCGTGTGCACAACAGTGTTTCTCAGTTACGTTAAGTCACTCAATTCACTAAATCAAGCCGTCGAAAGTAAGAATTTAACCAACATGCACATCTTGAAATGTCTCCATTATAGCATTTCCATAGACTGACCTTTGAATGCAGTGCATCTCTAACCACGTTTTAACAAAAAAAAAAAGCAACAAAAAACAAAACTTATTTGTTTTATATACTCTGGTGGTCAGTGGGACAATGTGTGGTCATTCACCTCGTCAGCCTGGGATGAACCTGGTGTGAGCCAGTCATAGAGTAGTTGCCAAATCAGGTGGATATGTGTTATATTAAAACTTGAAGGGGATCCTTGGCTCTAAACCATCCAGGACCCTAGTGACCATTATGTCACAATGATAATGTAAATATTATAAGGCATATTGGGGTGGTAGCGGACAAACTTCAACTCTACTTCATCTATCATCTCTTTATGCCAACAGGAATTTAAAAAACAAAATACTAAGTTTTTCAACAATATTAAGTTTTTATAAAATGTTCGCTCATGTTAATCCTTTTCTCTTGCTATTACTGTTTTATCCCCCCCCCCCTGCAGTTGTTCATTTATAATAATTATTAGTAAAACAACTTTTTCATAAACAATTGTGTAAGTTTACAGTTACACTGATTGTAAACTTTCATTAAAAAATACAGAAACAACAACAAACAGAATTAATAGTTAAAGAACAAAAAAACTCCATTAGTTCTCAAATATTCTTTTAATAAAAAAAACATTTTTAAAAATGTATATGGTACTTACCTTGCTGTTAGCCTTGGTTGATCTACAGGTGACCCATGTTGCTAAAAAAAACTTTTGCAATATTAATTACAGAGATTAAAATAAAAAAAAAATATTTATAGATATTTGTTTTTTTACAAACAGGCTGCCTAGTAGTAGTACTTGTACAAGTGGAAAAATGCTCAATACGTTTCATAAATCAGGTGTGTTAAGTCAAAATATCTTTCTTAGTTTTTACTCATGCATACATTGGTAATAAAAGCCAGACAGTAGTGCAAATTACATGTGTTTACGGTGTATTTCTTGTAGTTAGCATTTCTGTAAACAAACAAATGTTTCTGCACAATCTGAAATGTTATCAGGTATAATTTCATTCACTCACTGCAACAATTTTAAATAAAATATTTTTAGGAATGTGACGAGTATTTTCTTGAGGCATTACTGTACTTGAAAAAAAAAATGTAAATGTAAATACATTTTTTAATAAACATTTATCTTCTCTCAGATCATTATGTTAGTTTTATGTTTCATTAAAAAGTTAGTTCTAATTTACAAATTAGCGCCAAATTTAAAACAAAAATGAAACTCTACTTATGTACTGTCCTATAACTACTATAAGGTAAATGCAGTTCTTTGGTTTTTGGTTGTATTTTAACTGTAAAGTTTTTAAAAACTTTAAACTAATATCACATTGCAATAAAATGGCACCAACTCTACACTGAATGGAGCAAAAAATGAAAAATGGTAAGCAAGTACTGGCAAGGCAAGAAAAAATATTTTTTTCCCCAGTTGATGTTATAAGTTTATAAACACTTTAAAATCACAATTTTAAAATACTAGAAGCTGCACTGAAGTGTGTCCATTTCTAAATTTAAAAAAAGTCTCAAAAAGCATATCAACAAAGTTCAGAAGTAAACAAAATGACATTTCAATTCTAAATTGTTGTCACTAAATATACCTTGTTTAGTTTGTGAGGTTGTTGATACTTTTAAAAACATTTCAACTAGATAAAATTTTTATCAAGTGCTGTATAAGTAGTTCATAAAAATTCAATCAAAATTTTTAAGGCATAAATGATGGAGTGATCTTAAACTGTACGTCCTTTATAGGTTCTTCACTTATACTGTCTGTCATCACTGAATTATTAGCATCTGGTGGAGATGACACGGAGAGGTAGATTTTATCATCAGTGTTAACATTTTCAATATCATTATTGCTGCAACTGGCTGTAATATCTGATGGTGAACCAGATAAAAACATTGGTCTTATCCGAACTGACTCTGTGGTCTCCGAGGGCTTCACGTCGTTTGTTTCCCTGGACCGCAGCGAAATAAAAACTGGTTGTGATGTCAAAGGGGCAGAAGTCACAGTCTCAATTGCAGGGGGTTCCCTGGCAACATTTGGGGGTTGACCTACCTTGTCATGGCATGATTTCAACCTTTTACTGTAAAAAAATAAACAAACAAATACATTCTAAAAAAAAAACAGTTCACTAAAATTTAATTTAGAAACAAATCTATTTTTTACAATACCAGAAATAAGTAAAGTAAACCTTACTTTAAAATATAGGTTGTATAAAATACCTTAAAACTTTATTTAAATGGTATGTTTTAATTATTCTTTATTTGAAACGCTTCAACTTTAAGTACATAACAAATCTTACATTTGTCCATAGCGTACATTCTCTTCTTGTTTCCGCTTCCGGTGCAACATTCCACATTTATCACCACGGATACATTTCCCAGTGTCAGCAAACAATGGACAGACAAACGAGTGCAGCTTTTTACACTGGTAGAAGAGAAAAAGTAGCCCACAATAATAATTAACAAATTAATATTTTACTTAGATAATGAACATCTGAAATTTGACCACAAAACTTTTAAGTTTAAGGGTACCATTTCTTGATATCCTGTGTTCATAACAAAATTTAAATTAAAGTAAAAGAATGAAGTTTTAACACCATACTAAATAATCCATAGGCATTAATAAAAAGTTATTTAATATCTGCTGCATGACTAGGCCGCTGTAGTATACATATTACTATCGAATGCCAAGTAGATTTTTGAAGACATATTAGACCTTACCTTATCTCCAAGAACACAAAAACCATTAAGAAAATCTCTGCAAACAGGTGCAGAGGGGTTAAGCTTGACGTGAAGGTAAGGACAAGATTCCCTTGAGCACGCTCCTCGCAGGTAAAACAGGCACACTGGCATTTTCTCAACAGATGCCTTGTGGGAAAAGGCACAGTTGGTAACATTACACTTTCCACGCAAAAATCTGAGGGAAAAGAAAAATTAACAATTTGTTACAAATCTTATAATAAATATTGTTTTTAACTGATATTATCAAAAGGTATAACTACTATAACCACTTTACCTTGTGCACATGGCAACTTTGTTTGGGTCATGAATGTAAGGACAGTTATCTCCCCTGGAACACTTGCCAAACCGACCAAAAAAGATACAATACTGTTTGCTCCTTTTAGATTTTTGGTTGTCCTTTTTGAATTTGGCAGCTGCTATGACAATACTTCTGTGAAGAACTCGGCTGGGGAATAAACATTTTTAATAATTCAGCTTATCTACCCTAACTGTTTTGTCGTAGCTTTTGTTTTCTGATCAAACTAAGTTCTATTGATGAATATAAATGTGTTGTAGCATAGCATAATTTAAACCTTCTTCAATCATCATCAATCTGTGAGCACTCTGAGAGGAATCAACAATTATTCTTCTTATTAATAAACGATAACCTTTACCACATAAACTGTAAATATTGCTCAAATGTGACTTTATTACCTGGCTGCAAGTCTTGTATGCTCCCCCACTATTTGCGCTAGTGCTTCTTGTTTAATCCCATCATGCTTCACTTCATCCAATACTATTAAATGTAAATATTCAGAATATAAAATTCTATAAAAGAATCAACCAAACATGTTACTTAAAAAGAGAGTTTTAAAAGTTAATTTAAAATACAACCTTCCTGTGAATTACACTCAGATCAATTACCCCTCCAATTCCCATTTTATTTGACAAAATTCGAATTTTAAAACATGAATGAAAATAAACTATAGTAGATTACAAAATCGTAATCCAATAAGTTTAAGACTAATAGTTTATTTGAAACATAGAAATAGCCAAGATTACTGAAGGCTTGTATTTATATACTTATGTTTAGAACATTTTTTTTCTAAATGTTGACTTACCATGTTGGAAGCTCTAAAACAAACTGTTACAGTACTTTCTTAAATTTAAATTACCTTTTTCAGTTCGGCAAAGTTTCTTGCCTCTTGCATCAATATTGAAATGTATACCTCGTAATGAAATAAGTTTCATCTTTTGCCTTCTCCAATCTAAACAAAAATAAACAAAGAGAAACAGCTAATAGTTTAGTGTTGGGCGCTGCACACTATCTTAGTAAGATGTGGCCAAAGGAATAAGTTAAAAGAATAATTTTCAAATATGACAAAATAAATTTTTAAAATTACTAACTTTTCTCACAGGGGGAATTGATCTTCTCAAAAGGAAATTTCCAAAGTCTGGAAGATGGACTGAGAACGTTTCTCCTTGCTACAGTAAGTTTCCTGCCATTAGACTGGTAGAGAACATCATCAATACGGATCAGATTTGGCTTGCTGGTTTTATAAGGCCTCCAAGTGTTTCTGCTATTTCTGACACTTAAAAGCATTTAGAAATCATTATAACCATAAATAGTAGTAGGTAGTTTTATTATTTATTCAAATAATTTATTTTATTATATGATTCAAAATGTTATAAACAATAAAAAAATGTCTTACCTTGTAAATCTGGAGGATCTAATATACCCATGTTTAAACCTCTGTTTCCAGTAAAGTTTTTGTAAATTAAGGTATTGAAGATTAGTTCTGGACCATTTAAACTGTGACCTCAGTCCTACAATAGTAAACAAAACTTTCTAGCGTACAGAAAAATATTGGCTGAAATTAAACTTTTACTTCAGGTCTAAAAAGAACAAAGTAATTAAAGACAACCTTACCAATAGGTGTAGGAATCTTTGACCACTTATGCCGTGTAGACATGCGTTCATTTAGGCCAAAAGTTGCTGATTCCTGTTTGAGGATGTTATTTGTTTTATTTCGTCTGTCTAGTTTATATAGTAGTTTATTCTGTGGCAGCACAGCTTTTGTTTTCACAGATCTTTTATCTATCTTCATTTTACTATTGACATTCTCTGTGTTGAGACTTTCTTTTGAAACATTGAGGAAAAAGCTGCTTTGGCTACGTTTATGTACATTCTGTGAAAGACTAAGTTTAGCAGAGTGACCTTTGACAGTGCCGAAATCATCAAAGATTTTTCTGGGGTTGTGATAAAAATGTGGGTTAATTTTTGAGGCAGATGTGGGGGAGAGCCTCTTTAGTTTATATTTACTGACTAGTTTAGCTGCGCTTTGTATATTTAAAGTTGGAGTTCTTCTCGTCACAGCCAGTTGGTGTTTCTTTGATGGAGTTGACTGGGCCATTCCTGGAGCAGGTAAAATACTGTCTTTCACATTTGAAGATTCGCTGGTACTTTTTTCTTTTGGGGTACTGGTCTTTTTAACAAATTTAAATCGACTAGGGCTCTGCTGAGCAAAAGAAAAGTTGTGTTTGTTTGCAGTTGTTTGTTTTGTGGATTCAGATAGCTTATGAGGTAACGTTCTATTGGTCATTGGGTTATAAATAGCTGTCGTTTTGGTCGGTGAATGGTATGACTGATTCTTGTTTAGATGAGCTGGATCTTGTCCTTTGAAAATGTCTATTTGTTTTCTTGCACTGGTTAGGCTAGAGCCAGTAAATGAAGAACCAGCAGATAAAGCTGAATTACTACTGCATACTACGTCTGTATCAGTAGCTGTTTTTAACAATTTAGATTTTATCTTATCCCAATTATCTGTTGACCCATCTAGTTTGAGCTTATTATATGAAGTTTTGCCTGTTTTGTGGGCTTGGTTTCTAGCTTGTAATTGACTCTGTTTAAATTCTATGTCATTCTTCATGTATCGAATCTTAAGTTCCATTTCCTCTAGGCTTTCTGGTAATTGTTTCAGGTTGAGTTTACTCTTCGTCTGACTGCCGGATTCAGATTTTTTCTCAACAGGTTTGTTCGTCTGATTTCTAGCTTGTAACTGTCTTTGCTTGAATTCTATGTCATTTTTCATGTAACGGATCTTGAGCTCCATTTCTTCTAGGCTGTCTAAATACTTCTGTGGGATCACATTGTCAGTCTTAGTAGTATGATTTGTCTCAGACATCTTGGGCTGGATTTGGCCTGTAAGGAAAAATTTAATTTCACAAAGAGAAATAAAAGAAAAATAACTGTAACTGATAGGGAAAAGCAATCATAATGAGATCATTTCAGAAACGTTAAGACCACATCAAATATTTAAAAAACATTGTTTGGGAAACATACAACTGTAATATAGTAATAATTAAATTATTTATGTTAATTATGATGTCCAGATTACAAATTAACAAAATATAAATTAACAAAAATATTGTCCAAACCTCAACAATTTTTCAAGCTGTGTGTTGATGGATTTTTAGAATCACATAAAATAATATATAGTTAAATATTCGTTTTATATTTTACAAAAATAAAAAATTATTTAGAAAGGTGGATATACATTTGTTTAACTAAATCGGATTCCTACGGGTGTAAAATAAATTTAAATATTTACTCTTTGGAGGGACAACAATCCGCTGTTCTAAATTGTTTCCATTGTTTCTGGGCAGAACATAACGATGATCATTTCCAGTCCTATCAACATCATATGCCAATTTAGTTCTCCCTTCTACACGCCTGTTAACTAATGTACAAGACAAATGGTCAACATTTCTACTAGCTGCAATGTTACTTATGACCAATCTACTGGATGGGGCAATCACTGTCCGCTGCGAGTTAACTGAACAATTACTTCTGTTCGAGGCATTTTTCATGATGTCCAAAAGATATGAAATGTTCTAATCTATATATGATGAAAAACTATTATGAATTACAAATGAGCCAGCAGTGTAAGGAATTCTAATAAAGCTTAATAATTATTTGATGTGTACGAAAAGTTGAACATTTTAAAATAAAATTTCTTAGTCTTAATTATGAATTAACTTAATAAAATGAGTTATCAATTTGGTTAAATTTTTTGAGTCGACTGTTTGAATCCCTGGCAGAACAAGCCCCAGTGTGGCCTCAACCTACTGGCAGCTTGTTGCAGAGAGTTAAACAATCTATACTGAGTAATAATTTAGTTACAAATTTTGTAAGACATCCTACAAACTATAAATTTTTAAATTTGTGCTGTTTGTAAGAAGGTAGCTGTGGTAGTCTCACAATATAGTGTTGGTTAATATTCTGGAACGGCATAGCAGAAAAAAACCCCAGTAAAACAATGGCGTAGTCTGTCACGAAATTCTGGAATTCATTGGGAGAACTGTAAACCATGTTTTATTTTGGCACCATCTTTTTTCTACACAGAACATTTAAAAATTTGGATAGATTGATTTAACTGCATTTCAAATACTGTTTAGCTAATCATTTTGTATTGCTGATTATTTTTAAGTGTTTTTTCAAATTAATGTTGCTATATAATTTTTACTAGGCCCAGGGGTGGGACCTAGCAACTAGGTCTAGAATCTGGTTGACACAATTCTTCTGATAGTTATTTCTGTAACTTAAAAAAAAACATTAAGTACTACATTCGAATTTATTATTTATATTTAGATCTACTAGATCTGATGAAATAGTCTAGAAATTATTTGAAAAGCTCATTACACATTTTAAAATCATATAATAGGATGTTATTAAAATAAATTTGGTTATAAAAATCAACTGATTTTTGTTGGACTTAACTAAAGATTTGATGTAATTGATGTTTTAGTATTTTAGGTAACTAAGCAAAATTTTTTTAAAAAAAAGGCCAAAAACAATGTTTTTATTTATCACAGAAATTGAAGACAAAAAAATGGTGAGACTTAAAAAATTGTATCGACAAAGTTTTGAGTACAAATTATTACGACTTTTTTTTAAGAAGTGGCGTTTTCAAAAAATATATCACAGAATCTAAAAAAGCACGTTTTTAATCCATGTCATGATGGAAGGATTCTAGTCAACTACTAGATCTAGATCGCCTCAGTTAAAACATTAGGCCCTAATAATAATATTCATAATAAATATTTTAGAATTTTAGTTTTAGGCCCCCTACAATCTGATTTAAAATGGAGACAAGCGTGTTGACGAGATTCCTTCCATAGTGTTGTTGACATGGAATAAAAACGTGCTTTTTTAGATTTAGACCGTAAAAAAAAATAAAAACTTAAGCCTAAAATTAATTTAGAAATTTTATATTTTTAGAATAAATGCTATAAAAGTTGCAAATCCAGAGAACTTGAAAATAATTTGTTGAGTTTAAGGCTACATTTCTATTTATTTTCATCAAGCCTAAGTTATAACCGGATGTTTCACTTTCGTAAGACAAATATTGATTGGCTGTACAGTAACTTAGTGATCAATAACTATTTGTTTACAAAACTTTGCAGATCAAGTTTTTAAATAACAATGCAAATTTAAAACCCCATGACCTAGTTTTCTATTTTTAGCTTACAATGTGTACAATAAAATTTTATGTCGGCCTATCTAATAGCAGGATGCCATTGTTTATGTCGCCATTACATGTGAAAACCAAATTGTTTTTGCTTTTTTTTTTTATTTTTATTTAGTTACCGAAAATATTAAAAACATCAAATACGTCCAATCTTTAGTGAAGTCCGAAAAAAACCAGACAGACAGGATTTTATAACCATATTAAGTGTAACTACGCCGTGCAAGATTTTTTAAATTAATTTATACACCTCTCAAATACCTTTGAGACTTTTCTCGCTTGTGTCCATTAAATAGTTCTCAACAAACATTACTGAACTGAATATTTGCGGTAATCTATCGTTTTAGCGTAATCAATTCGGCTGAGATAGTAATGTGCGGGAGAGGTAACTGATGAATATATTTGTTTAAATAAGTTTATTTAAGTCAAATTTTACAAAATATCACAGATAATTGATTTAAAATAACAATCAGTGACCAAAACAATTAAAATAACATGAAACTAACTTTAAACTAGGTGTTTGAGATAAATATTAGTAGAAAAAAACAGCGGCCATCTTTCCAAATAAAATTTAGAGTAGTTTCCCTTGATAAAAATGTCTATTCGTATGTATATTGTGTTGATTTTGATGTTTAAAATACATACCTGAAGAATATATTCGTTTTCGTTAGAAATTGTGATTAAGGGTTCGGGTATAGTAGAACTGCGATATGATATTAAATCATTATCTTGTTTTTAGTAACTATTGGGTGAGAGGGCAATCGTCGGGAAAAGTATGACGTCATTTATGGGCGACCCATTTAATTAAGCCTAGCTGTTTATTTTGTCTGTAGACATTAGTCTTAGGCCTACACTTTTTCTAAATTAAGATTATTGTGTTTTTTAAAATAGGTTCAAATTTTTATTAGTTACATTTGAATACCACATGTTTTTTTTTTCTTTGTCTTCTGCTGTCATCAGTTTTTGATTTCTTCAGTAGTCAATGTTTACCCCTCCCCACCATCCATTATACAAAAAAAAAAATAAAACACCCACTATATATGTCATAGCGTAGATATATAGAATTAGACGAGTAGAGGTTACTAAGGACGGTACGAACTTGACGGTAGACGATTTGGTGCGAGAGTATTATGCGCGTGTTCAATAAAATATGTGTGGCGTGAGTGTGACGTGAGCATGGTGCGACAATGTACCGATGACGTAAGACGCAGCAGTGAAGTTAGTTGGGGGTTAGATATAGTAGAAGACGGACGTATTTTGTTTTTGATATTGTGCAAATGACCTATAAGTGTGAGTTAATAAAGTTCATGTTATTTCATAAACGAAGTTGTTGACATTGTTAATGGAGGCGAGCGAGTTGACGAGATTCCTTCCATAGTATTGTTGACATGGAATAAAAACGTGCTTTTTAGATTTAGACCGTAAAAAAAAATAAAAAATAAAAACTTAAGCCTAAAATTAATTTACAAATTTTATATTTTTAGAATCAATGCTATAAAAGTTGCAAATCCAGAGAACTTGAAAATAATTTGTTGAGTTTAAGGCTACATTTCTATTTATTTTCATCAAGCCTAAGTTATAACCGGATGTTTCACTTTCGTAAGACAAATATTGATTGGCTGTACAGTAACTTAGTGATCGATAACTATTTGTTTACAAAACTTTGCAGATCAAGTTTTTAAATCACAATGCAAATTAAAAATCCCATGACCTAGTTTTCTATTTTTAGCTTACAATGTGTACAATAAAATCAATGGCGGCCTATCCAATAGCAGGATGCCATTGTTTATGTCGCCATTACACGTGAAAACCAAATTGTTTTTGCTTTTTTTTAAATTTTTATTTAGTTACCGAAAATATTATAAACATCAAATACATCCAATCTTTAGTAAAGTCCGAAAAAAACCAGACAGACAGGATTTTATAACCATATTAATTGTAACTACGCCGTGCCTGATTTTTAAACTAATTTATACACCTCTCAAATACCTTTGAGAGTTTTCTCGCTCGTGTCCATTAGTGTCTGCGGAACATAAGAGTGATTCCCGTCCTCCTCACGAGTATAATAGTTGCCGTATGAATAGTAGTAGACCAGAATATATTGAGATTATATATAAATCGCCCATCACAATATAGTGATATCTCCCTCTAGAAAAAAAAAAACTAGATCAACCTACAGTTCGTAGGAAAATTAGAATCTATTACTTATTCGTCTGTTAAAAAAAAAGAAATACGTCATTTTTCTCAACCACGCCGTTTCATCCCCCACTAAGCACAACGTCACAAAGTTCGCGGCGCGCGTGACGTCATTTGTCATTAGGCTAATGTTTAAGAAAGAGATACCGCGTAATTAAAAAAAATCGAAACAGGCACTAAATGACTATGGCGATGAGGCTTTAGCAACATTTAGCCTGACGAATAGATCTAAATGACTTTAGTTCGGTGAATTATATTGGTGTTTAATTTATTTCAGTGACATGATGTTCTCCCTCTACTATACAAATTCACGTGCTTTTAAATTCTGCAACATGCTGCCCTGAGACGTTCGGCTCTAAAATGCCCGTGACACAGCGGCTTCGGTAAATGCATTTAGGCTCCCGGTCCCACCTATAAACTTCGTTTTCCCATTAAGCTCCACGCAAAACGTGTGATTAATATGTGGACATAAGCGGCGCTAGTGGTGGTGTCAACAGGGGCCAAGCTCAGCTCTTAAAGGTGCTCCGCACTTCATAAAAGACAAAATTGATGTTCAGATATCGTCGGACTCTGGCGTTTTGCCGACGGCCGTACTCCTAATGCACAGTCTTAGAGGCTGTCCACTGCTAACACTATTTTATGTTAAATTTAAGCCAATACTGAGCTGTGGCTTTACATTAGCTCAGTGGCGTAGCGAGGTCGAGTGTCACCCGGTGCGGCACTTAATGGTGTCACGCCCCCCCCCCCCCCAGAGGCGACAAATTTTCGATTTGTCCCATTTTACCTGCTAGTCAATAATTGTCTTGGACTCTTGTCGAATATTGTTGCCAGGAGCTACTTAATTTGAGCCTTGTTGTCAGAAGTTATTTCATTTGGGGTCAATATAGTGCGCCCTATTTTCGTCGGTAGGCATTTAGTGGCAGGCCTTTTTTGGCGGGGATGATGTGCTGAGGTTGTTTAACACCGCTTAGGACAACAGGCATGCAATAGTTATGATCATTCGTTATGGCAAAGGTATGCATGAAAATGAACGCTTTATGTTCCTCATTTTCATTGAGCACAGCTTTATAGAAGATTCCAAAATAGACGTCACACATCCCCCCCCCCGACCACCCTGCGTAAGTTGACGTCATATTAGCATAGCATATGTGACATCGTTTATGGACAACCCCATATAAATAATATAACTCATTTTGGGTATTTGGTATCAACATTTTGACAACAAAGGTTATTCAAAATGTATAAAGGACTTGACATCTACCATAAATAACATTGCACACTTAAGGGGTGGAGTAACTGGTTTTGAGACGACGTTTTACGCGGGAAGGGGGAGGGTAAGAAACGTGAAACGTTAAGTATTTCGCCTAATACAAAAATGCTGAAAATATTTCTTTTTTGTTAGAATTATGGCTTGACTTTTTAATAGACAGGGCAAAAAGGTAATTTTCGACATTACGACTATTTCATGACGGCGAAAATGGGGGGGGGGGGGGGGGGGTTTAAGGTGAAGAGAGGTCAAAAAAACGGGACGTCATTTATGATTAAATCACTAATTAAAGGAAAAAAGCATGAACATATTAAATGAAAATAGCAAACAAACAATAACACAAACAATAAGAATGAACTCAAACTAATATTTAAATAAACATTAGATATGTAGTGGTAGCTCTATTAAAAAAAGGGAGTATCTTAATGTATAAAAATTGCATCTCATAATAATAATTCTAGAACAGATGTTTATTGTCAGTCAATTAAATTTTTTAAAGGGCAGAATAAAAAAAACGCATGCTTTGTATTTAAACACAAGACTAACGTATTTAATAGCAAACATCAATACAGTTCCATACAAATAGAAATTAAAGGGAAATGACTCAAAATAATAATTTCTTAAGATGGCCGCTGTTTTTAATAGCAAATTTAGTATCTGGAACATCGCTGTTAAACCTTAATTTCATGACATTTTTATTGATTTAACCCTTAAATGTGGTTTAATATTCAATTACCTTTAGTATTTAAGTAGAATATGCAAAAATTTATTCATATTTAAGCCATATGTATTAGTTACCTTATCCCTACATTACTAGTGAGTGACGGCCGAATTGATTACGCTAAAACGATAGATTACCATATTTGCCAAGGCTATAATATTGTGAAATTACCATAACTGTAGTAAAGTATAAAAGTAGTTTATGTAACGCCTGTACTCATTGAGTAACTCAACTGTACTGTAACAGTTACAGTAACAGCAGTAGTGAGTAGTGCAGTCTGGCGAAGTAACGGAAATCGAAATGTTTACAAAAATCCCCCTCCTTTCCCCCCACCCCGTTACGGTTAAATTGGCTTAAATTCAAGTAAATGTATTCAAAATTAATTAAATGTTAGCGTAAACTTATTAAGTAACAACATATTAAATTAATGACATGTCGTATGTCAACAGTTATCTCAATTCTTGTTTACTGACTGGATTTAGTTGACAGAAATCTAGACAAGCTCTAGATTCTATTTTTAATCGTGATTTCCGCTTTCGAGTCAAGTTTTTAATTTACTGTTGAGTGTAAAGTCGTGTTTCAGTAATCGCGTTTTGCTGCGCTTTATAAATAATGATTTTTTAAAACAAATTATTGATCTTGGTATATAAAAAAACAATACTTTATCTCAGTCTTTATAATTCTTGAATTTATAAACAATAATAAATTAAATGTAAATAAATAATAATAATAATTATTGAAAGACTCTAATAATTTGAAAAAAAAATCAAAATATAAATATTCCATCTTTAGCTAGATAATAGCGCGCGGGAGAAGCGATCACGCAGAAGTGTCTGGAACAGGAATAAAGTCTCTTAAAAAGACTGATAATTAGTAATCACTTGTGTTTCACACTCCTTCCTTATTTTAATAAATTTAAAACTGTCAAGACTAGATTTCCACAAGTGAAAATCGTGTATCCAATAGCTGCAATAGACGCCCTGACTAAAGTATTTCCGGGTGAAAATACAGAAATGATTGAAAATAAATATTGACATTCTTTTGGTTCTATAATAAAGCATCTTATTTGAAAAAAAGTAGTTTAATTTCTTCATCTCGTAATATTGAAGTAAGTTTTGAAAACCTATGTATAGTAAATTAATAATCAAATTCTTAAATAAACATATCTCTTGTAAAGCGCCACAATAACTGAATAAACAACCACAAAAAAAACATGCTGAAACATGCTACAATCCTTGTTGATTTATTAATTTATTATTAAATTATTATATTTTATTGTTATATTTTATTATTATGTTTCAAAGTTAATTAACATAAATGTGTCTCTTAAATGCAAATCCACAAGTTAGTCAAATAGTAGTATTAACGATTCATTAGCCATTAGTCAGCAAGCACAGTAGGTTATTTCATAGGCCCTAATTATAATAATATCATAAATTTGAGATAAAATAGTGACATTAGGGCCCAATATATAATAATATTTATTCATTATTAGTAGAATAATACATGATTAAATTGGTCAGTCCAATCATCCAATAATACCAACCCTGTAATTGTATCAATTTCCCTAAACAACCTCTAACCAAAACAATGGTTGGACTACTTTTTATTTGGTTTCAATAGTAGAATGGACGTCCTCACTGGGATCAATAAAAACACTAACAAATGCTTGTCTTGCAAAAAGGAGGCAAGATGTGTGAGGTAGAGTAAGAGAAGTAGGGTGATCTATTCTATGTTGGGTGAGGATTCCAGGGTGGTGTAGTGCAGCATTTAATTTTCAAATGGGAAACCAGGTTATTTAGTTTAAGTATAAATAACCTTTGAGACATAAAAAAGGATGCATATTTTAATTTTTTTTTCATTTAATTTTTGATTGGTTGCATTTTCTTTTACATTTTAGTTCATTCCAGAGTTTTATTTAAAAAAATTACTATGAATATTAAAATTTTTAGAAAAATGTTCATAGGCTTCCTAGTAATATATATTATACAATTGGAAACAATGAGGGAGAGTTGTTTTTCAGTTTGAGGGTCATAAAATGTAATAATAATTAGCTTCAGTGAGTCTTGCAGTACTTTGCTCTTTCTTTGTTTGGAATCAAATTATAATAAATTTGCCTTAGTGTGTAAATACCACAATTCACTTTTTTTACTGAATTGTAAGCATATTTTAAAAAATTGCTTTGTCACTTTTTCAGATTGAAACAAATGGTTTAGGAACCTGTAAGTTAAAATGGCTGATGATTTAATACCAACCAGGGACACTAGCAATAATGCTCTTCGAAATGTCCCTACTGAAGGTAAAAGATTTTTGTAAACCGTTTTGAACTTGATTTTGTGCTTTTCATGCTTAAACCATTTTTATTGTTACTTTAGGTATTTAGAAAATCTTATAGGCATGTCTAAATACCACCACACCATCAGTGAATAATCTGCGTATTTAACATTGGTCTAGCAAATTTTATAAATAGTTAATTAAAATTTGGTTTATTAATTAGATGAATTTATTACAGCTGCTGTTCAGCGCCCGCAGGTCAGTAAATTTACGAGAGATGAGCTTGAGGACAGGTTCCTCAGAATGTATGATGAGTATTACATCCTTAAAAAGTATGCCAGGAAACAAGAGGATAAGATCAAAAGGTACACAGAGTTGTTCCTTTAATGTCTGTATGTAAAATCTTTTGAAAGTACAAGAGTAAAAACCTTATTTTTTTCAAATTTTAAATAAATCTTGAAATAATGTCTATTGAAGAGATACTTGAGAACTTTCACATGACTTAAAAATGAATATTTAATGTCATAATTGCACTTTTTCTTTAAAAAATTGTGTGCTTTTCTATAAAACTGTTTAATTAGATTTATTAAATTTATGCAATAATTTATACCTTAGGATGGCAACTAAACTCCTTCGTCTAGTTAATGACAAGAAAAAGCTTGAAAAAGAAGGTAATTTTGCTCCTATTATATTTCTATGAAAGCATTATTATCCAAACCAAAGACGTAACCCATTCATTATTTATTTTCATTTTGAACAAAAATTGTAGCGTAAGAGACTTCATAACTACCTTTTTTCATTAGGTTTATAAGTCTGTACTTATAAATTCTGTTGGATATGACACTATAACTGAGTAATCATAAACAGTAATCTGGTTCCATTTCATAACCCCTAATCTGACTGATATAAACAGATACCCCTTAAAGTGACTCTTCGGCCACCCTACCCAACCAGATTAACCCCTAGCAAAGCATATTGACCCTTTTTAAAATGTTGGTGTTTTACCAGATAGTTATGAGCTGTTGATACTTCTATGGTAGCAAAACTATTTATAGTTGCTCACACATTGCTACTTTTCTACCCTAGGTAAAGGTGGGAAGAGTATCGAGACGGAGGAGAAGTTTGAAGAATTAAATGCACAGATCAGAGCTTTGGAGAAACAAAATGCTCAGTTAAGAGAAAAGGTAAATTTGTTTTCTTCAGTTTTGGGTGATACTTAACTTTTTATTTAAAACTGTATATGAAATACAAATGTTAAAGCCATACAGTACTGATATCTTGAGTGCTCTGTTACAGTTGATGTTGACAAAACAACAGCTGACGTCAGTGGGGACCAAACGAGGGACATACAATCATGTCAGGGCTGTCATCAACACGGTAATATTTCAGCTGTTATTTTATCTTGTTTTTATAAGGAACTTTTCTACACCAGCTTTTTCGTCATACATAAACACACATATTTTTTAAAACAAACACCAACACACAAACAATTTAAAAAATTCTAATATTAGAATGCAATCTATGATATTACTTAACTGTCCATAGTTAAACATTTTGAATCTCCTGTTTTTCTCAAATTTCAAACTATTAGTTATATTATGTATTCAACTTCTAATATTGTTTAATTATTTAAACTTACCATAATTTTATTTATTAAAAAATTATTTGGGTATAGAATATTACAAAACTGTAATAAACTAATTAAAATTTTAACAAGGCCAAGATTTTTAAATTTTGGAATTCATGCTCATCTTGTTTTTTTTTGTTTTTTTTTATTTCACAAAGAACCTTCCTCCCGGTAAACAAGGAGCCACAGTGCATATTGACCCACGAATAACTCATAAAAATCTGCGAGTTATGGGCCCACCTCCAGGGGCCCAAACCCTGTCAGAACATCAGCTGATTAAAAGGTGAATTGAATTCTTTAATGTATTTGGTTTTGTTTTACTTAAGATTTCTTTAATTTGATCATCATTAGGTGAATAAAATGGAATTAGTTCTGGCATAATTTACATACATATTAATTATTGGGCAACTTTTTATTATGAAAGTCGTTTTTATTTCAGCCTACATTATTCTGTAATGATTAAGAAAAATAATCAATTTTTAAAAATTTCAAATATCTTTTCAGTTCTCCACCAGCTCATTATGGTCCAAGCATGCTAGAATCTACTGTTGCTGAAAAACATAGACTGTAAGATTGATAACATTTGTTATTTTAAGTCAATAGTTTATTAGTTACATCTAGATTCTTGTAGCTCATAGTAAATTTGACTCTTTAATTGGCTTGTTGATATTTATAGGTTAATAATTGTTTTGAGTAAAAATGTTTAAACCATTTTATAGACTTTGATAACTATTAAATTAGTTTTACTTAAAAATCAAGTTTAGAAAAGCAATTTATTTAATTTTTCTAATTTTCCCAATCTATGGGTCACAAACCCCATTGAGGAGGGGGGGGGGGGGGGGGGGGGGGTCACAAAGGGTTTTCTGAGGGTAGCCAACTTGTAGACTAAATTAAATAATATTATTTTAACTGTATATGGGTTGTGTGAAACATATCTTTTATTTAAAAGAGATCGTCAGCTTGGGAAACAGTGGTTTAGCAGAAGTAGAACAGGTGATTACATATTTCCCTTTGAGTTTGATTGTGCGTTCATTTATCTGTTGCTCCCAGTGACCAGCTGGCCCAGATGCGCGAACAGATTGTCATCTACGAGATGGAGATTGAAAACTTGAGAGAACAGAATAAATTACAGAAAGCTGAGTTTGATGAAGATTTGTTGAAGATTAAGCAAAAAATTACATCAGAGCAGAAGTAAGTGCAGTTAAATGTATTCACATACGCTGATGAGATCTGTGTGAGATATTTTCTTTTTATAGAGTGTTTAAATTAATATTAATCACACAACCATGCATAATTTGTTGTTGGAGTGTAAAAATACATTTGATTCATTTTGTAAAGTATTCATGATGTATTTTTAAAATGTTATTTTTTTATTAATATATGCAATGCCCACCCATAAATTATTATGCACCTGGGAAGAATGGATCTAACTTGTCTGATGTGGTGAATGTGGATATACTTAGTGTAGCACTGTATACACTTTAAAAACAACAACAAAAAGCTTGTATCTAATGTTTAGAACTAGCATGTAAATCAAAATTTAGGGAATCAACATTTATACGACTTACTTTTTGACAGACTCTTACTTATTGGTTTAGTAAACTCTGTTCTTAAAAATGTTTATCTATAAAAAAAAAACAACAGACACACCTTACAAGAGAATATTGATATGATCAAGCTACAGCGTGAAATTAAAGAAAAATCCACAATGTTGATTGCTCTACAGGACAAATATCAATACTTGGAGCAGGTTGGTTTATTTAGATGATTCACTTAATTTTAGTTGGTTAATTATTTAATATCACTTTTTTTTTTTTTTTTTAATTTACTTTTAAAGACAGCATTTGTCTTGTCAAACTTCAGGTTAGGTTAAAAGTATTGAGAGTTGTTTCTCAGGATTTCACTGTTTGGGTCAAAAGTAGGGTTTAGAGTATGAAAAGGATTATGATTAGGTTAGAAATAAAATAAAAGTTAATTCTGAAGCACATTACTCTTCTGCTTTCTTAAAGTAACTGATACGTTATTATTGACAGTAGTTGTACATTTATAGAATGTTAATTCAATAAACCGGGAGTGATCTCTCCTAAACTTTCTCGAATATTCTAATATAACACTACGTGGGATGGCAACTCGGAATATAGACATTATTTTTGTTTACTTAAACTTTTAAAAATAGAATAAAATCTAGTAGAAAAATGAATTAGTACTTTATAAATTTACATGCGTTTCTGAGAAATCGGAAATTGCGTAAATTAGCGTCTTCCGGTCAACGGAAATTACTCAAAATTTGATAGAAGGTAGAGAATTAGATCTTTTACTTACATGTGAAATTTCATTTATCTATCTGAAATAGTACTCAAGTTTTAGGCTTTTGAAAAATTCAAAGTAGAAAAAGTACCACTTCCGGTTATCGGAAATCGCTCAAAAGTTGATCAGGATCTACGATTTTGATAAAATACTTATATATGAAATTTCATCAACCTAGCTGTAACGGTACTCAAGTTATCGTGTTTACACACAGACAGACAGACACACAGACAGACACACAGACATAGGGACAAGATTGCAAAATTATGTTTTTCCGTATCAGTGAGGTGTAAAACGTCAAGATTTGTAAAAATCTCGTACAAATCTCGATTTTTTTTTGCATGATTACAAGACTTTCTCTATACTTCGTATATACGAGAAAGTAAAAAACACGTTACTCTGTTGGATTCACTAAAGTATAAGTTTATAGCAAGAAAAATTTTTAATAGTCTATTGAAAAGATTTTTCCTTAAACATGGTTGCAGTGTTTGTGATTTAGGATTTTTGTGATAAACTGTATCTATAGATGTTTCTTAACATTGTGAGCAAAGTATTTCTTCACTAGTTCATACTTTTGTTTCAGCATTAAAATTTTAACAGCAGAATTTTCTCAAATTTAAAATAACGATGACTCTTTAAAATATACTCAGATGTGAATTACCAATTCATGCATTTGATTCAGCATAAAAATGTTCTCATTATTAAAAACAATGCTGACTCTTTAAAATATATTCAGATATATTAATATTAATATTTGAATAGAATAGCCGTGTTGTGAAGCAGAGCCATGATCAAATCCTGCACGAGATGGAAAGTTTGACTCTACAGTTCCAAGAGGAACAGAACAGGAACCTCGCCTTGCAGAATCAGCTGAAAATGACAGACAACGACCAAAGGAAGATTTTTGAGGTATGCTCAGTGCCGGCGCCATGTTATTTAGCGCCCTAGACAAAACTTATTAAAATTTTACCCTGAAGATGATATTTGATAATTTTTTTACAAAAAAACTTTTCTGCACATTGATTGTAATGTTTAATTTGGATAAAATATGACATAGAATTGATAACAATGTTGTTTGCTTACTGCTACAATATAGGCTTATATCTTTAAAAAAAATCTGAATTGATCAGTTGCTATAGCTGAATTCCACCACTGTTAGGTTAAGGTTTATGTTGATTATGTAAAGCACATCCATAGCCAGTAGAGCCAGATATAGCTGTGTGGTTATTTGACCTAGTGCTGCAGGTAAAGCACAGCCATATTTATAGCTGTCTAGCCATTGTATCCAGTGCTTCAGGAAAGCACAGCCATAGCCAGCAGTGTAGCTTAAGACTGTGTGGCCATTGAACCCAGTGCTTCAGGAAAGCACAGCCATAGCCAGCAGTGTAACTTAAGTCAGGGTGGCCATTTAACCCAGTGCTTAAGGGAACAATATTACAGTTCATATTTCTTGTACAGCTGCAGGAGCAGATCAATGACCTACAGAGGGAGTGTCAAGTCCTGAAGGAAGCCAATGAGAAGCTGGTCACCAGGTACAGTCACTCTTCTGTTGTTGATGTGCCCTTGCTGGTGTTTGAGTTTACTGTTGCCATGGTTACTATTCCATGGTGGCTATTGCCATATCTATAATTAAATTCATTATTATAATTTTTTACTTTCTCGTATATGAAGTATAGAGAAAGTATTGTAAATCGTGCAAAAAATCAAAATCGAGATTTTGACAAATCTAGTCATTTTACACCTCCCTGAGTTGGAAAAAACCTAGTTTTGCAATTTTGTCTGTGTGTCTGTGAACACGATATCATGAGTACCATTTCAGTTTGGTGGACAAAGTTTGGAATTTCGGTATAGGATTTTTTTTTCTCGATTCTCTCAAATTTTGAGGGATTTCCGGCGAGCGGAAGTATTACTTTATGCTAATTCTGATTTCTGAAAAAAAAAATCGCTTCTACTGGACTGACTTTTCAAAACTTTTCATGTAGGTTTGGACTCGATGACAATACATTGTGACATACACTTTGGCTGAATTAGATGTTTAACTTTAAAAAAATTAATCTACGTTTCCTTTATGAACTCATCTTCATCTGTCGTATTGACCACCCTGTCTGAAAGGGTAACAGTTCTCTTTAACACTGCTGTTTTCAGTGCCTTTGACCTGGAGAGAGAAAGAGAATGGAGACAGAAAGAAAACACCCTGAAGGTTCAAATTGCGCAGCTTGAGGCCACACTCAAGTCTGACCTGGGGGAGAAGGGCAGCATCATAGATAGGTACTCCATGGAGAGAGGTAATTAACCAATGTCACTTTAATTGTCTTGTTTGGGTAGGATATAAATAAAAGAGGGAACCCAGTTGCAAAACTTGCTGAATCAACTTTTTGAAAAAAAAAAATTTCTCCTAAAAGCCTGTCAATTATAATATACGAGCCGGCCCGCGGCATAACATACGCCGCTATTTAGTTGTTTCTAATTTTCAATAATTCATAATTTGTGAATTCGACAGTACCAAAGCTGACACTGAAAATATTTCTTTAAAACACTATAAGTAGCTCGTTAAGGACCATAACCCCCCCCCCCTTCCTTCCCTCCCCCCCTCCTCCCCCCCCCCCCTCCTACGTTTAAAATCGTTGGCTCTGCTTGTAAACATTTAGAGTGAACACAGCTCACTAAAACCATGTAGGGGTGGGGAGGTAGGGAGAGCGTTTGCAGCTTGTTTTCTAACGGCTCGAAGAAGAGAATTATATATATATATTACACTTTTATGATTTAAAAAATAAAATCAAGATTTCATCTTTTAACAGTAAAAAATCATTTTAAAAATTTTGAGTCAATTTCTAGAAAAATCAGTCTGAAAGTTACTTAGCAGGTTTTGCAAGTGAGTTCACTTTTAATTTGAGATCTAGTTTTGTTGTAACTTTTGAAGCAGATCCAATAAAGCCCTCACCAACTTGTGTGAGTCATGTTAACTTCAATAAGACATTCCAGTAAAACCCTTACTGAATGATCCTTTTATCTATTCAAGTCCCTGAAGCTTGTGGTATATCACATATCTTACTGAAGCCTACCCCTAGCTGATTTTCCTATTATTTTCCTTGTAAAATTTCCCCAGATGCCCATGAGAAGCTGCAGACAGAACATCGTGAACTATCCATCAATTATTACACCCTCAAGGAGCAGATGGACGACTTGAATGAAAAAATGAAATTCTTCACCAAGGTTTGTGTGCAAGCACATCGATGAGTATAAATAAATTATGCATCAAATTGGGGTCATATTGTTTGGGGCCATGTTGTATGGGTCCTTTTGTTTTCAAATGTTTTTGTTAAAACTGAATCATTAGGTTTATTTTCTCCCAATTATTTGTTTACCTTATAAGTGTAAACAATAATTTATAAATTTTAGTAATGTGTATTAAAAATTAAAAAAAAAACTTGCAAATTAAAGAGATAATACAAAAGTGTAGAAAAAAAATCAACCAAAATAATGATAGAAACCAAGTTAATGACCACTATTTATAAACTAGTTGAGCTAAAGCAGACTAAAGTGAAAGTAAACAATGTTTAAATTTTCCTCCATGACAGGAGAGCCAGGTTGACTTTACAGAGATAGAGGAGGCCCTGGTGCTCATCAAGCAGAAGAAACAGAGAGAGCAGAAGCCACCAGACTTTCTACAAGCTGTTGATGATGAGCTCTCACAAGGTCAGCGTGTGTTCTGCCGCCTCATACTTTACAGCTACTGCTGACCCCTACATGACATCTAATGCTGCTTCATACATGACATCTACTGCTTCCTACATGACATCTAATGCTGCCTCATACATGACATCTACTACTGCCTCATACATGACATCTACTGCTTCCTACATGACATCTACTGTTGCCTCATACTTGACAACTACTTCTGCTTCCTACATGACATCTACTGTTGCCTCATACATGACAACTACTGCTTCCTACATGACATCTACTGTTGCCTCATACATGACAACTACTTTTGCTTCCTACATGACATCTACTATACAATATGACATCCTCACAATACTTTTTAATTTATTTATTTACTAATAATTCAACCAACTGAAGAGTTTGAAAAAATTCTGTGATCACACCATGTTAAGGTATAGTATAGTCAATTCTAGCATCCTAAACTTTCCCAGTCAGATGGAAATTGTACCTGGATTGACATAGTGACTTCCTCTAGACAAGCACCTGTTTTGTTACCATAGACAAGCTGGATACTCATTGGTTTGCAGTCATTTGATTGGCACCTGTTCTACATAGATATTATTCTGTGCTGGTCTTCTCAAGGTTCTAAGACAGGACTTAGAATTGAACTGTTAGGACTTTGTATAGTATTTCAGCTCTAATTTGCTTCTGACATGGGTCAGAGAAAAAAATAAATGGATTTTTACAGTGCTGGCAAGAAATTATTGCCAATAATGGATCTGAATACATCTACTATATTTTTTTGTGTGAATCACTATACCCAGCCATCTTTATACTCCTTAATGTGAGTCAGGCACCCATGATAGCTGGGTTGGCTATGATGAGCATTTGAGCTCTGCTACACAGTCTCACCAGATATAAAAGAATTCAATACAAATCATTTCCAGATCACAAGAAAGCTCTGGTCAACCTGCAGGCGGAGTTTGCTGAGACAGTCCATGAGCTGGAGAAGACACGCAACATGTTGATAGTACAGCACAAGATCAACAAGGATTACCAGGCAGAGGTGGGGGTCACAGATCATGTGTCACACTTCACAATACATAGTTCACAGTTCAAAGTTCACACTTGACTGCCAACACCTACACTTCACACCAAAATGCTTCACACTTCACATTTCATGCCGCACACTTCACATCTCACACTTCACACCTCACACTTTATACCTCACACATCTCACACTTCATACCTCACATCTCATACCTCACATCTCACACTTCACCCTTCATACCTCACACTTCATCATACCTCACACTTCATACCTCACATCTCACACTTCACCCTTCACACCTCACACTTCATACCTCACACTTCACATCTCACACTTCACAGCAAAAGACCTCACACTTCATACATCACACTTCATACCTCACACTTCTTTATATTTCATGCCTCACACTTCACACCCCACACTTCACAGCTCCTGATGAAAGTAGAACATTTGAAGTTGTGATTAAGTCCTATGTCACAGTTGGCTGAAAGTATTTTTTACTCTGTAGGTTGGAATCCTAACAGGCAAGATGGATGAAGTAAAGAGAGAATATGAAACCAAGTTAGATGAATATGCCAGGCTTTTGGATATACGCGCTGCCAGAATAAAGGTTATTTTATTTATTTTTTATCTTACATTCCAAAGTAGCATTGCTGGGGAAAAAAAGAGCTAGTCTATAATTTTTTTAAAATTAAATCTCAGTGATATATCAAAGTTAATCTTCAATCAGCATGGTAAGTAAATAAAAAGTCTAAAACTATTACTAACGAGAAACATGGCCCGTTGAGGAAGGGTACAACGGGTGCTAGGCTGATAGTGCTGTCTCTTTTCTCTAAACTAAAACCAACCCACCCCCCCACACACCACCCCCACCCCACACACCACCCCCACCCCCACACACCACCCCCCACACCACCCCCCACACACCGCCCCCCCCCCCCACCCCACCCCCCCCCCCCCCCCAAAAAAAAACATGTCTACCGTCCCATTCAACGAAATATAATTATATACTTTTTCCAGTGTCCGCCCCCTCCCAGAAAATTCTACCCCGCCCCCGAAAATTTCAAGTACTTCCACCCCTCTCCGGGGAGGAAAAAGTCTGAAAGAAACACTGGTGTCGCGCTTAGCCACTACCCGAAGAATTGCATTAAAAGAATTGCAAGAAAACCACTTTTTAGACACATTAATTAGGCGGTAATTTTATTATAGAGTATCGATGAAGAAATTTCTTTTGAGTTAGGGAGGGGGGGGGGGGGGGCTCAGACGTTCTTACGCGGGGGTGGGGCTTCGCCCCTACCCGAAGAATTGTATGAAAGAAACTCTTCACGCAAACCACTTAGATAAGACAAAATTTCCTTTTTATTCAATGTTTACTCTCCGGTTTGAGATTATTTTCTACTCTGTGCTAAATGTGTCGACGTCATACTTCGTTTTTCGAAATACTATGCATGTTTTTAATTTCCTTGTGTTTTCTCTAGAGCGTTCTTGTCAGACAGAGCGTTCTTGTCAGATAGATAGACAGACAGCGAAACTATTAGTATTAATGCTGTTTTTTTGTTTACATTAATTAACCAATTTTTTCTATAAAAGCATTAACAGGGCATTTTTTTTGTATAGAAACTTGAAGCCCAACTTCGTGATGTTGCCTACGGTACAAAACAGTATCGTCTACCCCAGGCTGATGATGATGATGTAAGTCATGGAAGGCTTTTTTCCAGTGATACTTTTTAGCTAGCATTAAATGTAATGTATTTAAGTTATTTATTACTGCTGATTACTGCAACATGGCATTGTGACATCATTTTAAGCTGGAACTAATTCTGAATGACATTTTTTAAAATTGTTACTTTGTCAGAATGAATCCACAACAGACTTTGATGAAACTATCAATCTTGAGAGGGGACAAAATCTGTTTGAGATTCACATAGAAAAGGTAAGTGGTGGTAGATTTAGCTTTATCCCACTTGAAATTTGGCCCATTTATTTTCTATTTAATGACTTGTCTTACAAATACACTAGATGTGAATGAACTTTGCTTACAAATATCTTTTTTTTGTCTACAAACATCTGTATCTAATAACTATAGTTAACATAAAAATCATTAATTTTTCCTACATATGTCTTTAAAGGTTATAGACATAAAAATCATAAATTTTTCCTACAGATATCTTTATCTAAAGATGCCCTGGAGAAAATTGGTGACGAAGAGCCCTGTGTTTTCTGTACCTGGGAATTTTTTGAGTTTGAAATCCAGTCCACACCAGTTGTGCGTGGTGCCAGGTAAGTCTCAGTCATTTTTGTACTGGGTAATTCATGCACGATCTCTAGACTCATCATCAATATAACGTGCTAGATAAGTCACTCTCACTTATTGTATATCAGTATAAATATTAATAAACTCTTTTAATTGTAAAAAAAAAAGTAACATTAGTTTAATTCAACTATTGTATCAATGAAATCCTGTGTATGAATTGATGATGTTCATTTCTATGAAATTAAACCCCATGAACTTTCTGCTGCAGGCCAATGTTTGATTTCACATCCCAGTACATTGTTAGGGTGGATGATTTCTTTTTACACTACATTCAAAGAGTAAGTGGTTTTTAATGTATTTATATCTTGATTGCGCTTATATTAAGCTAACCTTTTTTTCCCCCCAATATTAGTATAGCAGTGTTAAGAAATGCTTGACATTTCATTACACAAATTTAAAAAAATGCTGCTACTGCTCAGTGGCAGTATAATTAATGCTGGAGTAGGAAAAGTTGTGGTACCATGTTAATAGTGCAGCACATTATCATTTAGATTCAGAAGATTTAGAGTTTGTTTATTTTTCAACCCATGTTTTCACCTGCATCTTATTTTTAAAAAAAACAAATACCTTTTAGCTTTTATAGTAGTTAAATCTTCAAAATTAAAAAAAAAAAAGAATGTTTAACTACATTTAATGTACCAAAAAACATTGTCAATTATGAAACTACTCTATTATTTTAGGAATCTTGTACAGTGGAGATTCACCAGTCATTTGGCCAGGATTATAAAACTATAGCAGCATGCCAGATGGTATTTAGAGATATTTTTGATAAGCCACATGGGCGTATTCATGGGACAGCTTCCTTGACAGGTACAAATTATTATGGTACATGTTGTATCAAGTGTAAACTATTTAAAAAATATCGTAAAATAAATCTTAAAACATTATAAAGTGTTATATGTATTAGTTACCTAAATTTTTAATTATATTAAATGCATTAATTGGATATACCTAAATTTTTAATTATATTAAATGTATTAATTGGATATCCCTACATTTTTTAGTTATATTAAATTTATTAATTGGATATACCTACATTTTTAGTTATATTAAATTTATTAATTGGATATACCTACATTTTTTAGTTATATAAAATTTATTAATTGGATAAACCTACATTTTTTAGTTATATTAAATTTATTAATTGGATATACCTACATTTTTAGTTATATTAAATTTATTAATTGGATATACCTAAATTTTAAGTTATATTAAATTTATTAATTGGATAAAGAGGAGAGCTGTTGAGTACATAAATAAATTTTTTAAACCCACTAATGTTATAGAAGAGCTAGAAAATACTAATGAAATCATCAGAGTATATTAAGATAAATTTAGTTAGGCTGTAAATATATTGTGATGATGCAGATTTCTAAATGTGTGTTCTGTTCTCAGGTGTGGTGGAGGGGGAGACAGGCATAGGGTACGGAACTCTAGACTTCTGGGTCAGGCTTAGGGTACCCATGGAGCAAGCGTTGAGGCTTTATAAGGTGAGATCCTGTCCCCTGGTTAGTTTTATGTTTTTACAGTTTGAGGCTGGTAAATTCCATCTACCTTTTACTCTATAAATATTATGCCATGTCTCCACATGACTGAATGTTTATTTTGGCCTGAGCTACGTTATAACCCCAAACATTTGTACTAGTTATGTGATGGTGTGGCCTAGCGATAGAGCGCTAGCTTGCTAACCTGAAGGTCTTGAGTTTAAATTCAGTTTAAGTCAATAGAATATCCGCGAGTCCAGCAGGGCATATGGCTGACCACACTATCCTTTCATATGCAGAGGTGAACTCTACTTCACTTGCCCCAGGTCAGGTTCAAAAAGGGAACTTTTTATTAGTACTAATTACAGCCCCCTTTTAAATTTTTTTCTTGATTTTATAAATATATTTTTTTAACCTAATATAGCATGCTTTCAAGAAAGTAAATAACTTAATTTTATTTGTTTCTACAGGAGAGGACCAAAGCCCTGGGCTACATCATGACTAATCAGAGACTGGCAAACCAAGCGCTGGAAGCTCTGGATGACATTGCTGCCCAAAGACCTCCCAGCAATGTCAATGAGATGCACGTCAAGATCATCCGCTGCTCCAGGCTGATTCCACGCAGGAAGAGTAAGTAAAAAATTTTGTTTTTTTAATGTTGCTAGCTTTGTGTGTGAGAAAAATTATTTGTTGAGTAGTTTAAACTTAAGCTGTAAAGCACTTAGAAAAAAAAGTGTCTGGCAGTTTAAAATGGAAGTTTATATTCCAGCAGTTGGTGAAAAAGCTACTGTTAAAAGATTTTGATATTTGATTGAATTAACTCTTGTCGGCCTATTCATATAAATATAACCACAGTTTAGAAATTTAATAAGTAATATATAAAGAGTAAAATCACTATAATGATTTTGTTTTTGTTTAATGCTAGATAGTTTTTTAATTATATATTAAAGAATTAAATTGATATAATGATTTAGTTTTATTATTAAATGATTAATAATTTTTTGAATTTAATGATGAATAATTTTTCATGTTTGTTCTGTGACAATAGATGTGCAGCCGTCACCTTACTGCGCCTACAAACTCCTGGACTTCCCTGACCATGATACAATCATCCTGCGCAACACGAATGACCCAGAGTTCAATGACCACAAGATTTACAGTGTTCCCATCACCTACGAGGCGGACCAGTACCTCCGCACTGCCGTATGTTCAGTCTCTTTTCATTCTCATTAAACCTGACTGAACAAATGAAAGCCTAGTTTAACAGAATGACATTTTAAAATATTATAACTTCTGGGTTGTTGTGGTAGAATTAAGTCTCTTTTCATTCTCATTAAACCTGACTGAACTAATGAAAGCCTAGTTTAAGGGCATGGGCGGGTGATGAGTACCAACTTTCTTATTTCCGAGTCTAAACATGTAATACTTGGCTAATAGTTATAACTCAAAGAGTTAAGCATAAAAATATTTTTTTTAATTTTTTAAATCTTGCGTTGCCATGGTGACGGCGGCCATATTGGATTTTATTGACGATTTTTAAATGGAAATAACTCAAAAATGGTTTGTACAAATTTCATGAAAACTTAATATAGTCTGCAGACACATGTGTTTAAGACTTCTGATAGATTACATTTTCAAAAAAGAAAATAGTTTTTTTTTTACTTTTTTTTTTCAAACATCACTGTAAAAATTTCATTATTTCGTCCAATTTTTTCACTATTTCAACAACAAAAAAATTTTTTTTACAAAAATTCCAAAAGTGTTCTATCAGTTTTATTTGAACATATATAAAGAGTAACTGGAGCAAATTTAGTTCAGTTCTGATAATTATTAACAAAGTTATTTCAACAATTGTACAAAAAAACATCAAACTGAGAAAAACGCAAAAAACTAACAAAAAGTTGCAAAAAATGAAAATTTATCGCTGTATGTCACTAAAATCGACCACATTTATAGCCTGAAGTTTGGTGCTGCTGAATATATTCCTTCTGAGCTTGTTCGGCTGTTAGTTTTATTTTTTTCTGGCGCTCTTTGTTTTACCTAGAGTTGTAGTAAAGCTGTTGTCATGGCGTCTTTTTTCGCGTCCTTCACTGAGTCTTCGACTATGGTTTCCTTCTTTTGACAGCAATGCCATAGCATGCCTGGGCCCAAAATTGAATTATGCTATCGCAGAAACAGAAGTATATTTTGCATGGTCTCATGTCTAAAGCCAATTATGATAAGACGATGTCTTTGTTTATTGTGAAAGGCCTTGTTCTGGATTCTTTTGCAGTTGTATACTTACGGTTTACAACATTTTTATTACTGCCACACCATGCTTGAAGCAAACCCTTTACACTTTTTTCATCAATAGTAGCCACTACATCACATGTATTGATAACATCAAGAAGCAAATCACAGTCGACAATAATTCTGCATGGCTGTGGTTTACAATTAGTACTACCAGTACGAGATGTAACAGTGCTTTCTTCTGTCTGTAAAAACTGTGTCTTACATTGCCGCAGTTTCTTAGTAAATGTGCATATTACATCTGCACCAGTGCTTGTCTGAATAGTGCTAGATTGAGTGGAGGTAGCTGCAATCAGTTGCATTCGGACGTGCCCTAGCTTTAGTAAATTAGTTAGATGTGTGTAGTGTATCTATTTTTAGCGAGTGTTTTGTTCTACGCATTATCGAAAGAGAAACAAATTAAATCGCCTCACTGCTTATGATAATTCACACAAACTAATCTAAACTGTTAATAGTATATTTAATTGAAATAATTATATGTTAAAATAATGTAAGTATTTTACAGAAGCTTAGAGAAACAAAACTAGATCAAACTTAGCAACGCGCTGAAACTAAGGGAATGTTTACTTACGAAGCGAAACGACCAATCGCTAACTAGCTTCCGCCGCCGTATGCCAATGAAAAAATTGAGGTAAAAAATTTGCATACCGGAAAAACCCGACTGAGTAAAATAAACAACTTTATGACGTAGAAAAATAATCACATTAAAATAGGTATTTTGATTGGTCATTTAATTTTAGAACAAATAAAGAAAGGAGGTCACGGCCTTTCCATTGATATGAAACACATTAGGTTTCCGCGAAGCCTAATAGTACTTTTCTAGGTCGAAAAATTGCTATTTTTACTAAAAAATTAAACAAAAGACCCTGTACACACTACATTGAACCCGGTTTTTCATAATTAAATACTAATTTTAGGGTCATAACAATGTCATTTTTAGATTCAACGATGGTTATTCTGTATAGATCAAGTAAAAGTGGGAAATCGATGATTTAGTGGATTTATGACGAAAAGTACACCCGCCCATGCCCTTAACAGAATGACATTTTAAAATATTATAACTTCTGGGTTGTTATGGTAGAAAGGGTGTGGCAGGGTAGTAAAATACACAACTGCTAGCCTTAAGTCTTGAGTTTGAATCTTGGACTTGAGTCTGTAAGACGTCTCTGAGTTCACCCAGATCTGACAGGCACCTGCTTCACATTAGAATTGGTTATAGAACTGCTCCCACTATTCATTCATACGTCACGGTCACAGAAACCAATGAACTCTTCTTTATCTTAGCTATCGACTGTTGGTTGATAGTATGATTTTGAATACAAAAGTGACATTTTATTCAATCAACTAATTTTAATTTTTTTATTAGTTTTTTTTTTCAATAGAACGATTGTGCCAATATAAATATTTTTGTTTAATTATTATCTGGAAAATTATGTATTAATTTATTATATCTGTAAAGTATTAATCTGTAATATTTCATGTATTCTGAAATCTGAGATATAAATAACACTCTTTCACTGCTGATCTTCATTTTCATCATCAACTTTTCCCTTTTGTGCCCAAGACACATAGGGCAGCCATATAAAGCTCCCTCAAACTTTAGTCAGTCTCCAGCAATTTTTCTGGCAGTCCATCATACACCTCCATGTCTCCCTTGGCCTTCCCTGCTTTCTTTTTCATTTTAAGAAAACAAAAATAATCATATTTTTTTATTATTTATATTACATAAGAGTAACAGTTTTCAATTGCTTGTTTTTTCCCTCCCTACATAGAAACTGCAAATGTTTGTGTTTGATGACCTTGACCCTGAAGTGGAGGCCTACCTGGGTATGGCAGAGATCCCACTTCTGCCCCTGGCACACGACAAGCAGGTGTCTGGTGAGTTCCAGCTGACCAGAGGCGCTGGCAAGGCACCGGCGGGTGTCATAGAGGTGGAGCTGAGGTGGCAGTACCCTTACCTGGCTCCCAAGCTGCCGCACCATGAGCCGCAGGAGGTCAGTTAGTTTTACTTTTTTTTTGTCTCTTTATCAGATCTCTGACTTGATTCTGTAGGATGTCCCTGAGTCCACTTAGCTATGATGGGTAGGTGTACCTGACTCACTTTAGGGAAAGTAAAGGTGGATGGTCAAAGAACTACCACCTTATCCCTTTGTATGTTAAGGTCACAGAAACTCTACTTGATCTCCCTCTAGACCAAAAGGTCTGAAAAGGGCGAATTTATTAGATAACATATTATGAGTCAGGGTTTGAAATGTGCCTCTACTTCATGGTGTTTATTTAAACTATTTTTATTTTGAGTTTAAAATTTCATTAGTTATTCTTAGGGGTACTATGGTATGATATAGATTTTAGATCATTCAAATACTCACAAAAAGTGAATGTAAATTATATGATCAGTTTCTATAAAAATGATATGTATCAAATGAACTGTAACTAGTCTTAGGACAGGAATGAATTATAAATTATGTGAAGTAGGCAACCATAATAATCATAACAATCATAGTTTAGTTTTTTCTTTTTACTCAGTTGAAAAAAAAACAACGGTTAATATTTTGGTTAGCTTATTTAATTTTTTTAAATTATAATTTTTAACACAAAGCTACCAAATAAAAATAGAACATGTCTTTCTTTAAAAAAAAAGGTATCTTATTAGTTAATTATATCTGTAGTCATACCTTAACAGTCATCACAAACTGCACTGTGCAGCTTAAAATGTGTTTTTCTGTCCAGCTTGAAATGGCCCCCAATGAACCACCCCAGCGGCTAAAGCCTGAGGGTCAGGTGACCCGTGAAGAACTGGTTGGTCCAGTGAGACCAGAGGCTGCCCACAAGCATCGAGCAGGTCCATCTGCCACCTCCACGCCAATAGACAAGAATAAACTGAAGGCTGTTGAATCTCAGATTATCTCCCCTATGGTAAGGGAAACAACTGCAGGGAGTTTGAAATAAAATAGTAATGAGATAAAACAAAATTGGGTTTCAGCTAAGAATATTTTGAGATTCTTGAAAAATTTCATTATTTTTCATAAAAGCTTACTATTATTTTGTTAGATTTTTTCCTCATCAGTGAATCTAATTTTTCAGATTAATTTCCATAGAAATAGCATGTATTTGTCTACTTAACAGAGAGAAATCACTGATGCAGTTCAATTAATTAAATTAGTAAAGAGGATGCCTACCCAGTAATTTCACCCTAGCCTTACCAAACCCTACAGAAGTTTTCTGTGGGACCAGCTAGGGGTCAGGGGATGTTTGCCATTTGGCCATAAAGAAAATATTTTTTTAGATGTATGATGGCATTGTTGTAAACCAGCAACTGTCACAGTTTAGTATTTTGTATTACTTGAGACTTATGAGACTAGCCTAGTCTCCCATGTCCCCTGACAGCCACTTGTGGTTTATGTGTTTGGGATTATCTCATAACTGAATGATGAATGTCTACACAACAGTACTGACTCTTATACACAAAATACACAATACAGATGGAAAAAAATTTAAGAGGAATGAGTGAAAAATATGTTCTATGTTAACCCACAGCCTAAGCCAGCATCACGACGTAAGGTCCACATCTCAGAAGATCAGCCCACGTATAGCGAGGCCCACCATCACTCAGGGGCCCACCACAACAACGCAGTGGATGACACTGTCTCCCAGGTGGTCTCAGGGTTCATGCCCAACTTGTCTGAATCTCTTTCCTCTGTACCAGACATGGCCACAAGTAAGTCAAGTGTGAAGACAATTTATTTACATGTATATTTGATCTGGAAGATGCAATCACTTTTTACTGAATAACATGCAGTTTTTTTTTTTGAAACAGTGGTAATCCAAATAAGTTTTTGTAAAATAACTCTTTTAAAATATAATGTTTTAACTTATACAGTTTTAGATCACACCTTCCAATATTCTGTTTTATAGTTGTCGACTTGTACTGGCTAGTCATTTAAAAAATTTTTTACATTTTTTTTTTACAGATCAGAGTATCTCCAGTCACCCAGCTAAGCATCTTTCTGATGATGAGAAGTCAGGTAACTCAAACTTTCCCTTCAAACACAAAAAAATGAGTTTAGTTCTATTTTTTATAAGACTATTCTAAAGCTGGTATTTGTGTGACGTTTATTATCAAATCCACCTACAAAAGCAGTTCTGTGATTTGTCTTTATATTGCTGTCCCCAGTGTTACACACCCAGTCTATCGCTGAGGAAATAGAGGAAGAGTTATCTGCAAGACCCACCCCTCCTCGTGCTTCATTACAGATGGAGTCCGGATCTGAAGATGGTAAATTTTGGTTTTTATCTTCACGATTTTAATATTTTACATTTTTTATGTATCATTACAAATACATGATCAGATGTCTACCTGACATAAACCTATACTTTTGGGTGACATGAGCTTATTCACAAGATGACATAAACCTATGCACTAACTTATTCACAAGATGACATGAACCTATTCTTATTGGCTACATGAACGTATTCACAAGATGACATAAACCTATGCACTAACTTATTCACAAGATGACATAAACCTATGCACTAACTTATTCACAAGATGACATAAACATATGCACTAACTTATTCACAAGATGACATAAACCTATGCACTAACTTATTCACAAGATGACATAAACATATGCACTAACTTATTCACAAGATGACATAAACCTATGCACTAACTTATTCACAAGATGACATAAACATATGCACTAACTTATTCGCAAGATGACATAAACCTATGCACTAACTTATTCACAAGATGACATATACCTATTCTTATTGGCTACATGAACGTATTCACAAGATGACATAAACCTATGCACTAACTTATTCACAAGATGACATAAACCTATGACTAGAACTATACAACAGGGTTGACATAAACCTACTTTTATGTTTACTTTTGTCAATATTGAATTTTTACCTAACCTTTTCTAATTTGTTAATATTTTCTCCAAACACTATTAAATCAAAACCTAAGCCCTAATCTTTTTTAAATAAATGAGAGTTTTCCTTATGAAATTATGTCATCATACCAAGCTGACCTTAGCATTGTTATCTCCCTGCCCTATTACTAAAGGTTACTTCTATAAGTATTACTAAAGCTTACTTCTATAAGTATTACTAAAGCTTACTTTTGTTTAAAGAGACCAGCCTTACACTCTCAGCATCACAGAGCAGTGCCAGTAAAACTGTGCCTACACCCAGGGCTCGAACCCTGTTGTCATATAGTAAGGAAGACAAACTTGCATGTTGTTGATGCCGTGTGGGCTGTAGAAAGTGAATGGTGCCAGTGTTGTACACTAAAAATATTTGTTCCGATCATGTTCTTTCTTCACATTAACCATTTAATGTGTTGTTCTTTTATACAGCATTGTATATAACTATAGGTGCTCGTGTTGTTGCCTTGCATTAATGAAGTGAAATTCTGAGTATTGTTTTGTTAAATTTGGAATGGTATATTGTGCTTCCTGGTTACCATTTTTAAAATACTTTGTACTTTCATGTCATTGTCTTGTATCCCAAACTTACTCTTTCTATGCCATATAGAATTATCTTAATGTTTAATTCCAATTTTGTTTTAGCTCAACTATATTATTATTCTCTACAGGAAATTAATGGTAATAGGTTAAAAATATGAAACAGATTTGTTATCAAAACAATTTAAACTTTATATTATTGGGAAATTGGTGGACAGAGGGGAAATTTATAGTTGTTGTCTCTGGATTGGTGTTCTGTAGTGCATCTCTTGTCTTGGGACACACTTTCTTATCTGGATGCACAAATTGTTTCTTGTTTAATGCATGGTGTTGCCTTGAAGATTCAAACAAGTTGAATGTTTTATTTCCGTCATGTACATGTTTATGGTTGTGGTTTTTACGAGGCTCATGGTGCATGTTGTCCTGTCATGTCAGTGTCATCAGAACTGACACTTGGCATGCTTGATGTCAGCACTAAACTGCTTAGTTCTCTCAGTGAAGTGTGGCATGCAAATATCTGTCTAAATATGACATGACTTTGTGAAAGTTTTTTTTAATTTTGTGTCTGCATTGTGAAATACCTTTATGCTCTCAAAAAATAAATAATTATAAATTAATTTGCATATATTTGTGGTAAGGGCTCATTTATAAATGATTCTACCTCTATTCTCCACAGCCATCCCCCCCCCCCCCCCCCAACTGACATCACACCTCAGCCTATTACATTGAGTAGTATTAATCAATCTCTATTACAGTTAACAAAAAATTTCTTTTAAAAACTCAAAATAACTTCTCAAATTCATTTTCCAACATTTTTTTAAATAAAGTCACACTCTCCTCCTCATCACAAATTGTCACAAAATTTTGACCCCCTCCCACCCCTCCCCAGGAGCCTTGTGTCATGGACTACACCTAAGATATATTTTTTAATAATTTGTTTCAGTGTTAATAAAGTAACATTGAAATATCTTTTTACAAATTATTAAAGATGTTTTTATGGTAATTTTAAATGTCTTTTGAAATAGCATTAGACTTATAAAACACTACAATTTTCCAAATATTAAATCTAAAGATTTTTATTCTGTCTTCAGAAACAATTAAAGAAACACCAATTAAGGTAGGTGGTTATTTTGTCTTCAAACAGAGAAAAAATATTCTTCACATTGTCTGAGCTTTTTAAAACAACAGTTTCATCCCAACTTTTTATTATTTGATGTAATGAAATTGAAAACAAAACTATAATTTATTAGTGCCATAAATATTAATCAAAATGTTTTGAATCTTAAATAATCTAATTACCTGTATCTTTACTTCCCCAGAAATCTGTATCCCATTCTGTAACCGATGAAGAAGGTAAAAAAAAAATTCATACTATTTTATTTAATTTATTACGGTTCAATATCTTTTCTCTTTTTTTTCTTAATTTAAATATATCCAATACAGAAATGCTCTATAAAAAAATAAAAACTGTCCACCTGTTTCCTGCAGATATTAATGAAGAAATTGATGAAGAGATCGCTGAGAAAGAACCAGACTCTGCCAGAACCTCTGAGATGTCAGAAGCTTCAGAACCAGCTGCCGTTGAGTCTGACAGTGAGGGTGTCATGTTAATTTCAACGCCAAAATCAAAGCAAAAAAATAAACGGCCAAAACCAGTGAGTTTTATTTAATGGCTCTTTAGTTTATTCAGCTTTTTACTCGCATTTTGCATCAATTCCTGTTGCTGAGGTTTTAGAAATAGCATGTAGTTGATGAGTTACTATACCCTAGAGGCAGTGATTAAGTGGTTGAGAGACAGAGAACCTTCATTCATAATTTGAGTCTCCTGGAAACTCCTTATCTTCAATGCTCATGAAGATATATGACAAACAATTTGTTTAAAGATAACACAATTTTATCAAGAATATTAGGCCTTTTAAATTGCCATACAATCCATTATGTTGTTAGACTCAAGTTAAGGGCTATAAAAAGGCATAAAATTAAAGCCTCTAAAATGACAGTAGAACCCATTAAATAAGGGGAAAGTTAAGGCCTAAAATTTGGTAAGGAAAAGTTAAGGTCCATAAAATCCACACGAAATAATCTAGTTTCATGCATGTCATATGTACTAGATCAAGTTTAAAGATTATTCTGCTATTCAAATTTTAAAGATTTTAAAAAATTTCTTTGGGTTAACAAAACATGATTTAATAAAATTTTGTATTAACAGAATATTGAGTTAATAAAAAAAAGTTAACACAAAATTGATACTACATTTGACAAACTGTTTAACACAACTGCAGCAAAATAATTAAAAAAATATGAGTTAAAAAAAATGTTGAAATTCTAACTCCCAGAAGGACACAGTTACCATTGTCATATCAGAGGTGACCTTAGAGGAAGACTCTCCTCCCATGAAGGATGAGAATGTCAAGCAGCTGTTTGTGGAGTACAGGTTCCATGCTGTGGACCCCATGGAGACAGAAACACCTTACTCCCTCCCCAAACCCAAGCCCCACCAGTCCATCTTGTTCAACTTCAGTAAAAGTAAGTTCATCGTTGGTTTGTAAAACTGATTGCTTTTATGTCATGTCTATTAAACTAAGTAGTTTATATCACATTTTTAGCCTTATGGTTAACACTACATAATTTTAAAACAGTTTTTATTCTTACTGTAAACACAACATATTTTTCCAACACTTTTTAGCGCAATTTCCATTCTGGAGAATTGCGTTTATTAACTCGTCTTTTCTGGGAATGTGTGTCCGGGCTTTAAGTCGTATCTCCTCCTCAACGAAGCAATATCAATGACTAGTTCCAAAAGCAATTATGTTAAGCAAGTTACCAGGATGAACATAGGCCATAAAAATTCCGGGTTTCTTTCATGGATTTCCCGGAAAAGCCAAAAAACCTCGAAAAAACGCAGTTTTTGGCCCATATCTCGGCAACCAGACCACTTAGTGACTTGAAACATGTACCAATCGATTCCTGCCATAATTTAGAACAATATTGCCGAAGAAAGTTTTCAAAAATATCCTTTTGTTAGGTCACAAAATTTTTTTGAATTAATTAAAATTTGGACCGAATTAGTAGGCATTTTTATCCAACCACACCACACGCGTCATCACGTTCAATAGCTGCGCCATCACGTTCAATAGCTGCGACATCACGTTCGGTAGCTAGGCGCACAATGGTTTTTAGTCATGTTACTCTATTGTAAATAAAACATGTAAAATACTGAAAATTTTTTTTAATAAAAAACGTTTTAATAACTAACCAATGGTTTTACTAACCCTGCTCTTGATTTACGCTACAACAGAGCTATTTTTAGATAACATAAGGAAATTGCGCTAAAATTGTCACTAGACTTTTTTTAATTACTTGTTTTATCATTACTGTAAACCCTGTTACCAGTCCATCTGGTTCAACTTCAGTAAAAGTAAGTTCAACGTTGGTTTGTAAAATTGATTGTTTTTATGTCATGTCTGTTAAACTAAGTAGTTTGTATCACTCTTTTATGGTTAATGCTACATAATTATAAAGCAGTTTTTATTCTTACTGTAGACACAGCATATTTTACAACACCTTTTTTTATCATTACTGTAAACGCTAAACATGTTTACAGCAGTTTTTATCCCCACTGTAAACACAATATATTTCAACCTTCATTTTATATACTATAAAAATTATATACTATAAAAGTTACTTACTTGTACTTTCATTTTCACATTACTCAAAACCTATGGATGATGTTTACTCAACCTGTTTTAGTGTTTAATATTTGTGATTTTGATTTATAAAATGTTGTAGCAATCGGTAATAGCACCTACTGTTAGAATGCAGGTTTATTATTTGGTACCCTGGCTTATGTCCATTGAGAGTGCTCCTGCAAATTGCCCCACCCATTTGAGGCATGAGGTAAAAGCCTGGTGCAAGAAACATTTGGTTGTATATTCTGTTGCTGCCAGAAGGGGAAAATACCTTATGTTAATTCTTCTTGTGTTAAGCCTATCTGAAACAGTGATAACTAGACTGTGAACATGATGTGAATAGTGTAATATGATATTAACAAGATGGTACACACTGCATGAGTTATTCAACAGGTTGTGGATTTCTTAGTTAAAGGCAGGACAAAGGCTGATGAACCATTTTTTTCTTTAAACATGTTCTTACTTTTTGCTCATCATTTATTTTCCTAATTTTATATTTGCCTAATATGATTGATTTTAATGGGGTTTTTTTGTTATGCTATTTATTTATGTATTGTAATAAAAAAAAATTTAAAATCTGGTTAACTTTCTTTTTCAGCTATTCCTGTTGATATGGAAAAAAATTACGAGCGGCGAAGCTATTTAGCTAGCATATTGTTGCCTAGTCACCCCGACAAAGGGAGGTAAGATATGTTATCATCGTTAATATACTCTACTGTAATACCAAAATTTATGTTTTGTAAAACCGTTTTAAGATATATTTATAAAAATTGTCTAAACAAACTACCTGATGTACAGGTTAAAGTTCACCCTGGTGAGTGAGCCTCCAGAAAATCCTGCGGAATCAACTGAGATGGAATGTGAGGATGTGGGCGTGGCTTATGTGGATATCAAGAGAATGCTGCGGGAGGGCAAGGATCTCAAAGATCAGAACATCGACAGTAAGTTCTCCATCCCCCAAGCAGTACACATTTTTTGTCTCTATTTGGTGTAAAAGATTGGGATCTGTTCTTGCTAAAATTGTGTTATAGTTAAACAAATTTTTTGTTTATGTAAATGTGTATTTGTTGAGAAAATGGCACAGGACATCCATATCCCTGCAGTGGTGACAGGCAGTGATGTGATAAATCTGTATTTGATAATCAAATAGAAGTAAATAAAACAAAGGTTCTATTTCTTTGCCTTTTTCAACTCCCAGTGAAGCATAGGCTATTTACAGTATCCCTCCGTGCATAGTTTCTTCCAGGGGGTGCAGAGAGAAAGTCCTCCACCCCCCCCCCCCGAGACAAAAGTCTGGGAGAAAAACTGCCTCCATTCTCTTTGCTGTCCTTTGCTATTGTTTTCCATTTCTTTCCCTTTTTCAATTTCTCTACATCAGCTCTGTCTACTTTTCTTGTTCCTTGTGGATTTTATGGCCTATCCATCTCCATCTTCTTTGCCAAATTTCTTGCTCTACAGGAATTTGTCATGCCCTTTCCCATACTATTAGTATTACTGTTGTATTAAAGGAAAGATAACCCTTGTTTTTTCTTTCAGTCCTGGATGCTCAAACAGAGAAGGTTGTCATAGGTCACATGATGGTCACTGTGGAATGTGTTGATGTCATGCGGGCTATTGCAAATGAAATGGAGGTCGATGGCACTTACTAGTAGAGGACTCTGCCTAGTTTATTATTAACTGCTAGTACACAAATATACTCTGATTAGCTGCATGCATATGCTAATGACAAATGCCTAAAGTTATTAACATTGCTTAAAGTCCTGTGTACATGGACCTGAATGAAAAGCTATTTACAGAATGGGCATTTTTTAGTCAGTTAATGTTTATAAAATTATAAACTTTATGAGCCGTCCATTCAAACACAATTATGAACCTTTTGCCTCATGTGACTTGTTTATTTTACTTTGTTAAAGCCAACTGTGATACATGTACTAGAAGTAAATTAAAAAGTGAGATTTACTTACAGAAACAAAATAAATATACTTGAGCATAGAATGTTCTTTAAAAACACCAAAACAAAATATTTTTTGTTTCACTTTCTATTTTTCATTTATTTTTGTTATCTTATCTTGAATGCTGCATCCATTACCTAGCTCCAAGTTTATAGACACCATCTTTGTCCAATAAACAAATGTTTATTTCATTTTGTTTCTATTATTGCATTTTTAGAATATTGTGTATATTTATTGTATGACATTTTTTTATGGAAAGATAATGAATGGCATGATGTAGGTAAGAATAGCTTATACTATAACATAACCAGATAGAAATGGAATCGCTGTAAATATGTGCAGTGTTTAGGCCATATTTTATAAAAAACAACCAGTTTTTTTTATTGTGGTTAACATACCAGTCATCAATCTAACTCACACATCTAATAATCTCTTCGAAACAACATTGCCTTAAAAATAATTTTAAATATAACTAATAGCCAGGTTCCACTTAAAGAACATATGTAAAGTCAAATTTAAAAAAAAAACAAATTTTCTATTATAAAATGTTAGAAGTATATTTAGCTCTATTATTTAGTTATATATTACAGATTATCGTAATTAGCTAGCTTAGTAAGGTACATTTGTTTTGATAGAAATTGTAAATTCTGCTATTCCATGAAGCAACTTGGGAGGAAACAAGATTAGATTTCTATGCTGCAAATTATTTGGTTACATAGACAACAATCACTTCCAAAACTTCACTCATGCTTTCAATTGTAGAGGGAGTACCTGGTAAACTTTTGTTTTGCCATTTATAGTGATATGTCTTGAGAGAAAAACTGCTAAATTTGTAAAATATCTTTTGAAAAGAAAGTGTAGTTACAATACAGTTCAATAAAAAAAGTATCTTAAATTTGTGTCCCTTTTTAAAAATAGTTGTCTTGTTTGTAATAATTTTTTTTTTTTTTGTGTGTGTAATACAGGCAAAATTAGTTAAATAAGCATAAAGCTACTGGCCATAGACTGGGTTATGAAGATGTCAACAGAGAAAACGCGAAACGGTATACAGTGGACATTGTGGAGCCAGCTGGATGACCTGGACTTTGCTGACGACCTGGCCCTCCTTTCTCACACACAACAGCAAATGCAGGATAAAACCAACAGGGTTGCAAATTTTTCTACAAGCCTGGGTCTGAACATCCACAGAGGGAAAAGTAAAGTTCTCAAAGTCAATGCATCAAACAACAACCCTATAACACTGGCAGAAGAAGCCCTAGAAGAAGTGGATAGATTCACCTACCTTGGAAGTATTGTTGATAAGCAGGGTGGGACAGAAGCAGACATAAAAATAAGGACGGGTAAGGCAAGAGCAGTCTTCAACCAACTAAAAAATGTTTGGGGTTCGGGAGATTTAACCCTTAGAATAAAAATCCGGATCTTCAACACACTAGTAAAACCTGTTTTACTCTATGGAGCCGAGACATGGAGAATAACTGCTATAAATAAGAAGAAAATACAATCATTTATAAACGCATGTCTCAGAAAGATCCTGCGAATTCGCTGGCCTAAAACCATCAGAAATGATGTTCTATGGCAACTGCCAGTGGAAGTAGAGATCCTCCAGAGAAAATGGAAATGGATTGGCCACACACTCAGGAAGCCTGTATCCAGCATAACAAGACAGGCCCTCACCTGGAATCCACAAGGCAGGAGGAAGAGAGGCAGACCAAGAAAGACCTGGAGACGTGACCTGGAAGAAGACACCAAGAAGATTGGATACACCTGGGGACAGTTGGAGAGACTAGCCCTGGACAGAGACGTCTGGAAAGCTCTTGTCAGCGGCCTATGTCCCAGTAGGGACGACAGGCAAACATGACATGACATGAAGCATAAAGCTATGATAGACCTACTTTTGTTTGATGTTTATAGAGTGTTTAACCAATGCTATCTTATGTGTGTTCAGTATTGGCTAGAACATACATTTTTACAGAAGGAACTAATGACAACAACTACATATTCTCACTGCATCAAAACAAAATACATGTAATAAAAAGTTTTTTAATAAACAGCCAAGATCCAAATGGTACAGTTACAATAAAAAAAATCACATTTAAATAAATTTTAAATGGCAACTTCCTGATGTCTGGACTGTTTACATTTGTCACTAGAATCAGTGGACAAAATTTTTCTTTAAAATGACGTGTCACAGCAAGTGGCTGTCCATCAGACAGGTCTCCAAATAATAAAAAGTTAATAAATGCCAAATCATTGAGGAAAGAAATGCACTTTCATTACAGGAACATCCCTCCTCCTGACCATTCCATTCTCTGAAAAAAAAATTCACCTTCATAAGTTTTGTTAACAAAGAAAATATAAAACATTTGAAGGTTTTAAAATGTTTACTGCCTCAACAAAATTAACATCCCCATATGATAATATACTAACAAAAAAACTTTTTCTATATAAGGGGTCATCCATAAATGACGTCACGCTTTTTTGACGATTTAATTTTTACCCCTCCCCTTCGTCACAAAAAGCCTGACCCCCCCCCTAAAATGACATCACACATCAGCCTACAACCCCCCCCCCTCCCCCCCCCCCCTCAATATTGCTGTTGAATTTTTCTTAAAACATCGATATTTTTCCAAAATCTTGTCAGAACTGTCAACATAGAGTATTTTGATCAATTCCTATTACAATTTATTAAAACCGTTTTCTAAAACGTGAAATAACGGCTAAAACTCGTTTTCTAACATTGCTTTTTTATAATGCAAAAAACTGATGTCACACCATCTGAACCCCCCCCCTCCCCCTCACCACCACAAAATTACGGACCACCCTCCCCCCTACGAGTGTGACATCATTTATGGACGACACCTAAGAACATATATCATATGATCAGTTTCAATATATGTTTATATCACTACTCTAACCCTTGCTTTTGTGCTAATTAAATTACCAGAAAAAACAAAAAAAAGTAACAAACATAATATACATGAAATCATTTGATTGAAGAACTGATTAGTTCATTCAACTTCAACTGAAGTTTCTTAGGATAAATTACACAACTTTATTGGCAAAAAAAGCAATAAAAAATAACATTAAGTCTGTAGCACATTCGTGTGCTGGGAGTTTTTTTTTTAATAACATGTAGCTAGAGTGACGAACCTCTTGTGGTTGAACAAAAGCCAGCCAATCTGATGCATGTGTTGGTAGTAGTCCCATTGTCTGACATTTATACACAGCCATGGCTAAACACAGAATGTTGCCAATGCAGTAGACAAGCTTCTGGAATGCCGCCTGATCACCTTCTATACTCTTGAATACTGGGGACAATTGGGTTGATCAGATATTTACTGCCTATTGTTTCATTACAGATATCAAGAATTTAATTTTTTAAATCCAGGTTTTTAAAAGCGTGAAGTTCCCTTTTGGAACCTGACAGCCTATAGGATAAGTAGAGTTTACCTGTTTCTGTGACCTTAGCATATGAAAGGATAATATGCCCAGCTTTACTTTCCCTAATGTGAGTCAGGTACCCATTAGAGCTGAGTGGACTCAAGGATGTCCTACTGATTTATAACCGTATTAGAACTCAAGACTTTCTGGTTAGCAGTCTAGCACTCTACAGCTAGGCTAATGTGCATTGTGAAAAAAAAACATACACCTAAGAGAAGAGTTCTAAAATTTAAAATACTGTTATTCTCTATTTCTTCATTATCAAAAATAGAGATTTCTAAAAACTACTGAAATTCTAGACCTTTAGAGAATTCATAGTAGAAAAAAAAAAAATTGTTCTCACTGTTTTGGATGGATAACATTGCTTGGATAGGTCTAAAAAACATCATGCCGACCATCATTATTGGAAATATAGAGATTGAACTGCCAGCCATCCACATAATAAACATATTCATTGGGACTTGCTTGATTGGCCCTAGAGCGATATCCCAAGATCTCTGTTTCAAAGAGGAGAATAAAAAATAAAAGTTAAGACTATTTTACTATAGGACATTATTACATGTTTTTAATTTTATGACATCACCGGCAACATTTTTATAAAAAAATAAAGGCTCTTAACAATTTATATATATATATATATATATATATATATATATATATATATATATATATATATATATATATATATATATATATATATATATATATATGTATATTATAAACTTTTGTACTTTTTTAATATCTATAAATTGGTATTTTATATACTATTTTTAGGAATTTTGCACTTACAAATATATATAACACAAAAGGGATTAGTCTTTTTTTTATATTGAGTTATATGGGTAAGGGTGGTAGTTTAGAGCTATGTATATTGAAAACTGCCTTTGATTCTTGTTATTATTAATTTTGTTACATTTTTGCCATTTACAATATTTGTACAAAAAGATGGCTGCAACAATCTTACATAAAATTCTTAATTTTAAGACAAATAAATTGGCAGTCAGGTGGTTTAGAAAAATTGTATAAATATGGGAGGTGATGATCTTAGGCAAGGTGGGGTAGAATTGTGGATAAAAATGTCACACTTTTTTGTCATCTATATATATAATTCTCTTCTGCGAGCCGTTAGAAAACAAGCTGCAAGCGCGCTCACTACCATCCCCACCCCTACATGATCTTAGTGAGCTGTGGTTCACGCTATGTTTACCTTCGTGGAGTTGGGTTTAGTGACGGCTATTAGGGGCAGATAATTTAGTTTGAAACGATTTCAAACGGGGGGGGGGGGGGGGGGGGAGGAAGGGGGGGGGGGGTTATGGTCCTTAACTAGCTACTTATAGTGTTTTAAAGAAATATTTTCAGTGTCAGCGTTGGTACTGTCGAATTCACAAATTATGAATTACTGAAAAGTAGAAAAAACAACAACTAAATAGCGGCGTATGTTATGCCGCGGGCCGGCTCGTATAATTTATATGACAAAAAAGTGTGACATTTTAATAAAACTAGTGCATAATCCCATAGGGTTTAGAATAGAATTAAGGATTAAGTATAGAGTTACAGCAGTGGGAGTGAAAAACTGACAAGGAGATTTTCATAATTTTCACCAAAGCAAAACTAAAATCTTAAAATCCTGTCAGCTTTTAATCATTTGTGTATTTTTAAAAATTATTCTGAATGTTTACTTTTGCTATTAGGTTGGGATCTGCTTCTTTAGGCCGCTCTGCAACACTTGAGGAATCTACAAATCCTACAGGTGCAGGCAAGCTTTCTGCTGTGGGTACAAGTGACCTTTCACCTCTGCCCCTAAGATAAACAAAAAGGCTACAGTTAAGTAAGTTTCAACAGAAAAATGTGTACAAATTTAATTTAAGTGCAGTGAATGAAAATTAGTTAATGTGATAATGAACATGTTTCCTACTTTGGATTGTTTAATGTGATTGGGATTGTTATTCCATTTGTTGGCCCCTGAGTAAGTGAAACTCTGTCTGGCAAAATTAGTTTTTAGAGAATAGGCCTAATACATTTTTATTCATCTGAAGAATTTGAGTTTAATTATTAATTAAGTGAAAAATAGTGAATCTAGATTCTATATGATTTATGATTAATTAGATATGCCTACATTCACATTGGCAAAAATTGATTGGTGTAAAAACTGCCATTCAAGACTATGGAGGCGATTTAGACTTCTTAGTTATTAGAGTTGTAGGTCTATACATCGAATTCACTGGTATTATTTATGGACAGTTAAAAACAGTTAAAAAGCAATGTACAGGATGGATGTAACTTTGTTTTGAGATACCTAGCTGACAGCTGGTCACTTGAAAAATGAATGAGATGTAGGCCTATTTAATTTATTAAAAATTTATAATTTATGATTTTATGTGGCTCATTTTGTACTTGGCTATCCAAAGAGATTAAGCCTTAAGCCTTAGCCGCGGCCTTAGCCAAAATAAACTCTTAAGCTTATCAGGCAACTGTCAACAACCATTACTCAACAAGTATAAAGTCTGTTTTTCTGATATTTTTTAACTACTTTGATAACTTTTTAATAATTTTAACTTTGTGTTTCCTGAGTGTTACGTTTGGTAAATTCTAGTTCATTACAATGAATCAATTATTCAACCGAGTATAAACAAAAGAAAAGCATATATTATTGGCTCTGTTTCTGTATCTAGGCTAGATTCTATTGTTTTACCTGCTAGGTACAAATTCTATTGCCCACTTATGCCTTCGTTTCGACATTTTTCTAGACCGTGAATGTTACACAGTCGATTTTACAACTTTTTAAAAACTCGACGAACACAAGATTTCCTCTTCCCTTCAGAAAAATTAAAGGGAAATAATAATAATATTAATGTCGGGAAATCAAGATTGGAGAATGGAATGTACGAGATCATGGTGTGTGTGGGCTCGGGAGAGGGAAACTAGCTTCAATTTTTAAAAATTGTTGCTTTAAAAGCGTGAACATGCCGTAGGCCTAATAAATATTTGACAGAATATAATAGAAAGCCTACTTTTCCATAGTAGGCCTTAATATAAAATAAAGTTGATAACAATCAGAACTTATGACTTATAGTTATTAGTTAGGATAAGTGTTAGGCTGTTAGGTTTGTTAACTTTAATAGTCTGCAACTGTTACTAGTGTTACGGTTGATTTTGTGTCTAGAAAACTAGAGAAAAAAATAGCGGCATGCTACTCAGTTTTGCATTTTATAAAGAAACGTAATTTTTGATGTTATTTCGCTTTTTAAAAGTGTAAATTGCTTAATTAATTTACTCAAAGTTGACCGAGATCAGTAAATATTTTAGGGGTTAACCTCACGCCTTTTTTTGGCGATTCCCCCACCTTCACACAATGTCACAAAAAACCAGACACCCCCCCCCCCCCAGAGTTTCTTCCAGGCATCACTTCGCCCCCCCCCCCCCCCCGGACGAAATGAAAATTTTATAATTTATATAGAAAATATATACTTTTAACAGTGTCCGCCCCCCCCCCCCCGAAGAAAGTCTACCGCCCCCCCCCCCCCCCCGAAAATTTCAAGTGCCCCCCCCCCCCCCCGGAGAAAAAAGTCTGGAAGAAACACTGGACCCCCAGCCCCCCCAACACCTATAAAGGACCTCGCACCTCAGCCTGCAACCCTCTCAAAATTAGTTTTTTTTAAACATCGAGTTCTTTCGTCTAAAATAGTTTATGATTCCAGTCAACATGAAGTATATTAATCAATTTCGATTCCAATTTACAAAACCAGCTACCTAAAACGCGAAGTAACGGCTAAAAATCAGCTCCTAACAACACAATTTTTAAAAATTCAATAGTGTCACGTCACCGTTTCTGGGAACCCCCTCCCCTTCATTACACGTTATCGCATAAATATGACCCCCCCCCCCAATAATGCGACATAATTTTTGGACGACCCCTTTCTTCTTCTTCTTCTTCTTCTTAATCCTGTTCGTGCCCAAGACACATGGGGCAGATGAAGTAGAGTTCATCTGATTCATTGACCTCGGCATATGAAGGGATAGTGCGGTCAGCACTATGCCCAGCCGCCTTTGTTTCCCTAACGTAAGTTAGGTACCCATCAGAGCTGGGTGGACTCAGGGATGTTCCACTGATTTGAACCCGGATGGAAGACCCCTTAGATTGCCCGATAAAGAAATACATATTCTAAAGAAAAAAATTCTGCACTTTTGAGGGCTGGTTGAAGGCTGAGGCAGTGGCGTAGCTAGGATTTTTGGGCCCCTATGCAAAAAGTGTTAGTGAGCCCCTCAGAGGCGTAACGATTTGCACCCCCCCCCCCCTCAGACTCGATTTGCACCCCCCCCCCCTCAAACTTTCGTTTTGCACCCCCCCCCCTCAGACTTTCGATTTGCACCTCCCCCCTCAAACTTTCGAAAAAGGGCCCCTATTTGCCTTGGGCCCCTATGCCTTGCCTACGCTAGCTTTACGGTAGCTACGCCACTGGGCTGAGGTGTGACATTAAAATATTAGGAGCAGAAATTCTCTTAATACGATATCATAAAAATTTCATATTAGCTAAAGATGTCTTTTTTTTTTTTAAATTTGATAGGCCCATTTTAAAAATATATTTTGAACAATTTCCCCGCCACATCCTAGATCTGGGTGTAAATCAGAGTATCTTCCAGGCATCTCTTCGAAAAAATTCTACCCCCCCCCCCCGAACGGAACGAAATTTATATAATTTATATAGAAAATATATAATTTTAACACCCGAAAATTTCAAGTGCCCCCCCCCCCCCATCGGAGAAAAAAGTCTGGAAGAAACACTGGTGTAAATAAGTCTCTTTTCCTTAGTGAGCCCACTGATTAATCAGGACAAATAGGACCTGAAGTACGAGATTGTCAGAAAAATTCATTAGACCTTGGCACACTTTACTCACGATCTACTAAACATCGTCTGCGCGGCTGAGTTGAAAACCAAATTACTGTTGTTTAGCCTTACCTGTTGTTTGTTAGGTCTATCAGCTTGAGCCAACAATACAGTGGCGTTACTAAGGTGGGGTGGGGGTATTTTCCTCCCTGAGCTAAATGTAAATAGGAGAGTAAATAAAAATGAAATTGATATAGATCTAGGCCTGAGTGAGTTCTAAAACAGGCCTGTCATATATATATATATATATATATATATATATATATATATATATATATATATATATATATATATATATATATATATATATATATATAATTCGAGAGAGAAGCTTTACATAAATATATTGTAGACACTCCACTGCAACTATATCACACACACACTAACCCCCCCCCCCCCCAGAGGCGTAGCGACCCCTCCCGGTGCCCGGGGACAAACTTTCGATTTGCGCCCCCTCCCCCCTCGAACTTTTCATTTGGCGCCCCCTAAGGTCGGCGCCCGGGGACATATGTCCCCCCCGCCCCCCCCTCCTCGCTACGCCTCTGCCCCCCCCCCCCCCCCCCAACCCACCCAATTTGTATTTAACCCATACTCCAGTGGTAAACACCTACGACATCCGCGCAACTTGCCAGTGATGAGAATTTAAACGAATCGAGCGAATGTCGTAATCGTGTTGTGAAGGAACTGATAATTATGTAGACCAAAAAAAACGATTTTACTTTTATAACACAAAAAAAAACCGTTTAGGGGTCGCCCATAAACGACATTACACTCCTAGGGGTAATTTTATGACGGTGTGTGATGAGGGGGGGGGGTGTTCATTTTTGCATTTAAAATGGAAATGTTAGACAAGGAATTTTTGTCGTTATATGCGTTTTAGAAATTTGTTTTAGTTTTAGTAAATTGTAATAGAAATTGATTAATATACTATGTGTTGAGGGGGGGGGGGGAGGATTGTAGGCTGGGGAGTAACGTCATTGTAGGGGCGGGGTGGGGTTGTCAGGTTTTTTGTGAAGATGCGTGTTGGAAGGTTGGGGTGGGGTGGGTAAAATCAATCGTAAAATAGCGTACCGTCATTTATGGATGGACCCCTCCAAGTCATGATCCAATCCATTTATTACCAACAATTCAGGTTACATTTACAATTTTTATTAAATTCCTGCGTTTCATAAGGATTGTGTGTGTGTGTGTGGGGGGGGGGGGTCTATCTTTAACGTGGGGGCGCCACTAGTATCCTACTGATCGTCCGCCTCCATTCTACTTTGGCTTCTGTCATCATCAGCGCCTCTTCCAGTTTCCAGTGGAAAAACCCCGTCCGTTTTCTGAGGTTGTCTCCCATTTCTTCTATTTCGCCTGTCTCTTTTTTCATTGTGTGACACTGTTGCTTGCACGAACGTTTTCGCTAGACCTGACGACTTTGTGAAATCTCCTTACCAATTTAGTTTAGGCTTTTTAACTAATTCACCAATTGTGAACTGGTCATCATGCCGACCGTAAGCTACTTTACTCGTCTATAAAAGTCAGAACCAACCTTATGTTACTTTACGCACTTAGTCAAAGATAACTTTAGACCATCTGGCGCCCGGGGCCAACTATCAATCCCCCCTCCCTTATTTATAGCTGTTCAAGTGGTGCGAAAAAGCCCCCCCCCCCCCCTCCCTCCCTCTTTACCACTACTATCCTGTAGCAACTTTTATTTTAATGTCACACAATTGATGTAGAGAAAAAAGTTAAGTCTGTAAATCTATGTAGTAGTCTATTTCCTTAATTTTGTATTATTCAGTAATGCAGCTAAAATGAACTTTTAACTTTTCTACAACCGTTTGGCGCCCCCCCCCCCCGCCCCAGGATCGGCAGCCCCACCCACCCTCTCATAGCTACGCCTCTGCTTTAGATCAACGCTAGTCCAAGGGTCATCAACCTTTGTGTAAATAACAATTTAGACAACATTTATATATTCGTTCTAAACGTTATCTTTTAGGTATAATAGCCTACTTAAAGAAGAAAAGGCATAAAAATTATTGTTGCTCCCTCCTACGCCCCCGTCTTTTATAAACTAATTCTTATCCAAAGAAAATAACCGTACTTATTCATTAGGAAGAACAGCATGCGGCTACGAGGTCGAGGGTTACCGGCCCCTGCCCCTCTTCCTAACGTGAAGTTCAACTAAAGAACGAAAACTACCTTAGACGCCAACTATATCTATGTTTTTGATATTGTTCCTAGCGTTTCGTTAACTCCACCGCGTTCTATTTCCCCAATTTAATGGTGGTGTGGGTGCGTGTATCGGTACCGAGATAGTAACGGCAGCTCACGCGAGAACCCCCGAGAATACGCGTGGCCGTCTGCCAACAGACGACTCAAAAGGTAGACAACTGCTTTAAAAAAATCGACATAACCGCGAAGCTGAAGAAACGATCTACCAAAAAAGTGATAAGTGAATGCTGCATTAGGCCCAGCTGAGTTAGTCTGGCATCAAACGTGCTGTATCAGACGTACACAAAAAACTCGTTATATCACATAATCATCGTTTTAAGTAAAGGGGTTGTCTCATTATATCTATCTATCTATCTATCTATCTGTCTGTCTGTCTGTCTGTCTGTCTGTCTGTCTGTCTGTCTGTCTGTCTATCTATCTATCTATCTATCTATCTATCTATCTATCTATCTATCTATCTATCTATCTATCTATCTATCTATCTATCTATCTATCTATCTATCTATCTATCTATCTATCTATCTATCTATCTATCTATCTATCTATCTATCTATATATATATATAGGCCTATACATATGTATGTTAAATGTGTGTAAAGGCCTATATTTAGGTTATATATGTTTGTAGGTTATATTTACCAGCATATATATTTACATGTATAAATTTACATGTATACCTATATACGCGGTTAAGTAAAACAAATAATGTTATTTTCGTATTGCATGAAATAATGCAAATAGCGTGAATTTAAAATAAAAAACAAAATTAAATAGAAAAAAAAAGAACGTTAACCATCCAACAAAAACACACCTGTGTGAGCACCCGTATGCTGCACGTAGGTGTCACGCCGGTATTCTGATCTCTACTGTGCGGGGCACTTGACAGTGGGGAGGCCCACAGTGTTGTAGGGTGGATATGCTATTCATTTAGGCGACTGGGTAGACTATATACTTTGATACACCTTTAAAAAAAAATTCCAATTAGAAACGAAAACATATATACCCCCTCTCATTAAATGCATGGACTCCCTGAATAAATGCAGGCATGAAACAAGCGGTTACTACAAATGAATGGTATCAGTGGCGTCACTTGGGTGGATGTCACCCGGTGCGGTACCTCCCTCTCATAAAAACAGTAGATTCCCTGAATAAATGCAGGCACGAAACAAGTGGTTACTACAAATGAGTGGCGTCACTGTGGCGATGTCACTCGGTGCGGTGATAGAGGGCGTCACCCCACCCCCGTTTCCAACCACTTACCATTTTCGATTTTATGTCACCCCTACTATTTTATTGCTTTAACATAAGACACTGTCTTGGCAGTAAGTTCTACGATCTTTCGATGTGGTGTCACGCCCTAAATGGTGTCACCCGGAGCAGACCGCGCCTTAAAAACGCCACTGAGGGGTACTCCTATGAAACATACACATAGCATTTTTCCATTGTAGTTTCAAACTTCAACGATTCGAATCAACCGTAGCTCCCTCCCTCATTAAAAAAATACGATTATACAACACCCCTTCACTCAAATAAAATGTCCACCCATGCACTTAGTAAGTGTAGGCCTACATTATTGTATGACTAAGAACAGGGGAATTATGGGAGGTCGTTAAGTCAGTTCCCATCGACGAAAAAAAAAATGACATCCCATCTAACTTTTACACAATACACCATTTATTGGGCGTCATTGACACAATACACCATTTATTGGGCGTCATTGAATAGAAGAAATGTAGCCGTGGGACGGACGTCATTTCCTGTTTGTAAATACAACATCCGGCGATGTGTAGTGGGCCGTAGAGGGTCGTCTATGTGATGCGTGAAATTCGCGCCATTGACAGCGTAGCTATTATTGTGCCCATTCACTAAAAGCCGAGTCAAGCTTAGAAGTCTCTAACCCAAAAGCAAGTTCGAGTTTGTTAAAACAGGGGTATTGATCAAAGGGGAGAAAACTCTTAGTTCGGGATGTTAACTTGCAATGTTCCGGTGTCGACCTAAATTTGTACCCGGTATCCATGAAAAATTGTTCTGCTACTTTTTAAAAAGAAAAATGCTCCTAATGGTTTAAACACTTCTACGCTTAACTCCATGGTAAACTTTGTATTGTAACAATTTAAAAATGGAGTTATTAACATTTTAAAATCAATCTTTGATTTCTTAATTAATCCTGAAAAGCAATATATTTTGTATAAAAACCAGTTGTAATTGTGGCTAAACAAATTTTTTTACTTCCCTTTTCCTATTTATTTATCCGTACTAAACTTCCACCAATATAAACCATTAAGGTTAAGGTTAGCTAGCCTGATTTATCAACCAACCAATAATCAAGGTGTTGATTGTAAAATATAGCAGGCCTATACCATGAAAACGGGGTAAAGCTTGACACTGTCTGCCATATATCTGTGATTTATTCCGAAGGATTACCTCACATAATAAACTTTGTATTAAGTTAAAGCCAAATTACATTAAATCATGTGAAATAAAATGTTGCAAAATACTTTAATATCTGTTAACTAAAAAAAAATATTGATAAAAAACAATTGACATTTTACAAAAAACAGTACATTAAAATGCTGAAAAACAAATTTTCCAAGAAGGATTTACTTTTTTTTTCAACCCATTCTTTAAAATTATTTATATTCATCTTTTAAAAAAAAGTATATTCATTATTTAAATTTTTTTTAAATTTATATTCATCATTTAAAAAAAATTTATTTATATTCAAACAAGACATTCATGTGTCACCCATTTAAAATTAGGATTGGCAAGTTTAAATTAATAAATAGACATAAAACAAATATTTAAATAACAAAATAAATGTTTAAATACAATCACAAGTTTTGGATTCAAATCTAAAACTAAAAGGTTCTGACTCAATCATATTTTAGCTGAACTGTTAAAAACAAAAATTAATTGCAGTTGTGTGGAAAATCTTTGAGCAGCTGGGAAAGAAAAACATGTCACTAAAACATATTTCTGATTTAAAAAAAAATTCTCAACACAAAACTGTAAATGTTCATGTTGTGCTCTTTAAGCATGCATTTATACACGTGTATGACTACATACTCTTTGGTTAAATATATATATATCTTACGGTAAGCTTTGGATGGGCAGTGTTTAGCCCACATAGCCATTATATTGAACAAATAAAAAAAAAAATCTCACACAGAATATTTTTTTCTTGTATAGTCCTGAGCTTTCGTTAAAATTATTTACTAAAATAAAGTTAGTAAAATCTCATTTGAATTCAGGCTGTAGATAATTGAAATGATCCCACCAATCTCAGCTTCAGTCTCTGGTAGATCAAGCAACCTGTGTCACTGATAGATTTAGCAACACCGTATCTAACAGGGTTTCTCAGCAAACAGGTTACACAGCATTGTGTATGGGAATTTTAATAATCCTTTATGCAGTCACTTTTTGTACATTTGTTGTATAATAAAATATTCCATGTCAAATATTTCTTATCCAACAAATGCTATTCTGTAATTCAGTTCGTCACACGGAGATTATCTTAGTAAAATGTTTTGTATCCAAGTACAAGGATCTTCCATATTTCTATTGACCACAAAATACTTTTGAAGTCTGTAATAGTATAAATAAAATAATTTCTCAAAATGCGGAAGAAAGTTTTCCATAAAAGTTTGATTATAGCTGACTAATTAACACTGTTATTTGGGCCTGTAAAGGTGGTGATTTGAATATTCTGTTAAGTTGGGTTAGAATGGAAAACTGAATGTATTTTTATAAGGCATCCTGCGGCAATTAGTCAGCCCATCTGGTAAATGGTGACCTCATGCCTCATGGTAGTGGTGGTAATGGTGGTGGTGGTGGTGTTCATGAAAGTGGTGGTGCTCGTGTCTCTGCACAATCAGGCGGTCACTCTCCCACGCGTGCTCGCGCTCTATCCACTCCGCCACCTGCTGCATGGCTAGGTCGTGGTCTTTCTCTCGGTGGCGGTGGCGCCGGTGGTAGTGCGGGGAGACAGCAGTGGGGACATGGCCTGGCAGGCTGACGGGGCGAAATTTATTCGTCTTACTGCTAGCGAGCTGCCAGTGAACCTTCGCTGTGCTCGTCTGTCCTTCCGGTAAATCCGAAGATTTGGTTTTTAAATGCGGGTCAGTTTTCCCGTTAGCCGTTTTCTGACCATGCCTCTCGCTTTCCCGACGTAGGTTATCACATTTGTCAAGGTGCCCGCCGGCGACGATGTCCGGTTTATTCAATACCGCCTGGTTGTCACATTTGGCAGTGGGAGTGTCCTGTGACCTTGACCTATGGTGGCTGTTGCCGGTTTTGACAAGCCCACTCCCCAAGACGGGAACAGCGGAGTTGTTTTGAAACTTGGACTGGCTACAGTCCACCCCTGCCAGGTCGAGGTAGTAGTTCCTCCGGTCCTCCACAGGCTCCCTGCTGCAGTCCTCAGGCAGCTCGACCAAGCGTGTCCCTTCCAGGTGACCTGCGGCGCAGGCGGCGCCTGACACTGTGACCGCAGGGATGACTGGGCAGTGGGAGACTATGGTGCGGTGCCGTCGCTTGTGGTGCTTGTGGCCGTCCGTCCTGTTGTCACTGTGGTGTCTTCTGCAAGAAAAATAAAAACCAAATAAAACACTGTCACAAGATAAGCCCAGTATTCTCAGTAGCAATCCAGTACAGTTAATGAGAACTAACGGCAATAGGGCTGGTAAGTAGGTCACAAACCAGTTCTACAGCTCAATAAAACCTGCATGAGTCATAGAACGGGTTGGTGACCTACTTACCAGCCCTATAGTTTTAATAAATTATGGTGAAATGGTCTTTACTAATACTCCACAGAGTGTTTTAAATTTATTACATCTAGTTAAATTAGTCTCATTCTAGGAATATAATGACACTTAGAGCTTATTAAAAATGCTGTATTTTCTAATAAAAATAAAAGTTCACCCAAATGACCACTGGTCAATCACTACTTTTAAAAATATAACTAAAACACATGGCAACTTGTTGGTATTATACTAGCCAATATGTTTTAAATTAAAATGATCACAAGTTAAGCTTTAACTGAACTGATCTTTGCTAACGTAAAAGCCTTTAGGTTTGTAAGGTTTCAATCTAATGCTAAGTTTCAAAGAGCTCTGACCTGAGTTGCTTGATTTGATTCCTCTCCATGTTTTCTTTGACTAGACTGGCCAGCTGCTTGGAGTCTGGCACCACAACATTGGCCACCAGTGGGTCAGAACCTTCCGCAACTTGCGCCGCTAACGTTCCAGCTTCTTCAACAAATGTATTCAAATCCTGCTGCAAAAAATGTGACCCCTGACCTTGGTTTTGATTGGTGCATTTCAGCTGTGTCCGGGTTAAATTATTCAGCTTAGAAAACTCCGGGACTTTACTTTTCTGGGATTTGTTCAAGTTCCGACTGCGGTCGGCTGATTTTTGATTGGTCACGCACTGCACTTCCGCAGACTTCCTGTTGGCTTCTGTTTGAATTTTCGATGTGGCGTCTTGACCAACGGACAGCCTCAGCTTCAGGGTCTTGGCCCCGTTGGGTGGGAGCTTGATGGAGGACCCCACAGCGTCATACAGCGCCTTGAGTAGACTTGCTAAGTCCTGAAACACAGAGACAAATTGGTTGTGACTAAAACAATGTTTTTTCTTCATGAAATTCACTTATAAACAATAGAGCTACTTTGGTCAATAATGGAACCGAAATCACTGCATTACTTTTACATTAGTTCCTAATGCTCTTCAGGCAGGCACACTCCACCCAGATCTCAGTACTTGATCCTCTAGATTCCACCCACATACCTGTACTTAATCTACTCCACCCACATACCTAATCTAGACTCCACCCACATACCAGTAACCTTTTCTTGACTCCCCCTACATACCAGTACTTAATGTTCTGTGAACTACACATACATTCATTCACCCATCTTCCCCCTGAAGATATGATTTTAGTTTGTATTTACCTGTCCCATATCATCTTATGCAGTGCTCATCAATATCAAACACTTGTTATTTATTTTCCCTATGTATTCTGTTGGACTCATCCATTGTTGTTAGTATCAGTAATACATTTTTGTTACTTTATCGCAGGGGAGTATAAACCCTCCATGTCCAGCTTTAAAACCTCCCCACCATAACAAGATAACCCCAAGCAGGATCCAGAAGGGCAGCTTAGGCCTGGAATGACCACCCTCCCACCTGGAATGACCACCCTCCCACCTGAAATGACCACCCTCCCACCTGAAATGATGACCATCCTCCCACCTGAAATGATGACCATCCTCCCACCTGAAATGACCAACCTCCCACCTGGAATGACCATCCTCCCACCTGAAATGACCAACCTCCCACCTGGATTGACCAACCTCCCATCTGGAATGACCATCCTCCCACCTGGAATGACCAACCTCCCACCTGGAATGACCAACCTCCCACCTGGAATGACCATCCTCCCACCTGGAATGACCAACCTCCCACCTGGAATGACCAACCTCCCACCTGGAATGACCAACCTCCCACCTGGAATGACCAACCTCCCACCTGGAATGACCATCCTCCCACTTGAAATGACCTACCTCCCACCTGGAATGACCAACCTCCCACCTGGATTGACCAACCTCCCACCTGGATTGACCAACCTCCCACCTGGATTGACCAACCTCCCACCTGGATTGACCAACCTCCCACCTGGAATGACCAACCTCCCACCTGGAATGACCATCCTCCCACCTGGAATGACCAACCTCCCACATGACCATCCTCCCACCTGGAATGACCATCCTCCCACCTGGAATGACCATCCTCCCACATGGAATGACCATCCTCCCACCTGGAATGACCATCCTCCCACGACACTGGCGGCTGCCTAGTTCATGGGCAGACGGGGTTGCTTACCTAGGCAATATCAACACATCTAAGCTAAGATAACTCGCGAATTCCAATGAACCAGCTTTATAAAGGTGAAGTGATAGACTGGAGTGGGGGAGTGAAGGGCAAGGGAGACAAAAAAAACGCGATGAAGAAATGATAAAACACCGTACTCATTAGCAGCTCTTTAGATATCGTCTAGCCGCATTTAATTTACTGGAAAAGAATATTTTTAAACACGGTATTTTATTACAGTTATGATACATATCTGTATCATCTAGCCGCATTTAATTTACATGAAAATAATATTATTAAACACGGTATTTTATTACAGTTTGATAGGCTAACATATTTGTAGAATCTTAAATTTTATTTTAATTAACACTCTATGTCTATACCTCACAAATGTGATCTATTTTGTCTTCACACTAACCGTAAGCTTGTAACGTTGTTTAAGTTTTACATTAAAATTGTTTATGAATATACCACATCAAACCCTTTAAAAGTCGTGTTTTGATGGAGGTGACAACAGCACACGAAGAGACATCGGATTCAAGCGATAACCTACTGACATGTTTATGAAATGTGTCATGACAACAAAGAGTATAATGGGAGGGAATTTCGTTACAATAGTAAGTCCAAAAAAAAAAAAAAAAAAACAAGAAAAACGAGGTCTTGACTTGGGGGCACCGTCCTGAGGGTAGAGGGTTTACAGTGAATCGAGGAGGGGGTGGGGGAGCGATCAGAGGCGTGGAGGGGGGATATCAGCAGCATATAAAGCTGTTCCTAGATGCAGAGAGGTTGTCCTGGGCTGGAGGGGTGGGTAGGACATCTATCTGAAGCGTGCTGTTGCTTTTGGTGTGAGTGTGAGTGGGGCGCAGTCATTTTGTAAAATACATATAAGCATACCTTTGTATAAGACGTTTATAGTACCGCGCTCACAAAATACACGTTGCGTTTGAGCTATTTTTCCATAAGAGAGAACAATGGTTGGGTGTGTGTATGTGGGGGGGGGTGTGATGGATACCTAAAAGCGCCGAGGCTAGTGGGGAGGGGGGATTCTTATCAAAATCGTAGAACTAGGTGTGGTGGTGGATCCTATAGAGACTAGTGTGTATGTGGGGGGGGGGGGGGGGAATGCCTCTGCCAGTAAAAGGTTCTAAGACATTGCCACCCGCCTTGCCTTCCTTACCTCTTTCGTGATCCTCCCGTGGCCGTCAAAGTCGTAGAGGGTAAAAGACCACTCGGAGCCCTCCAGCTGTATCCCAGAGCCCTGGAGCCCGCACTCAAACTCCTGCGATAGACAAGGTGCCATTAAGTCAGCTGACAAATGTAGGCCGTTAAATCAGGTCAGTTTAGAGCTCCTGTTGTTTGTCTACAAGGTCTCGGTGCGTCAGTGGTGGTATTCCATGGGGCGGTCAATAGAGTGGGATGCTAGGGTAAATATCCCCAGCGCTGGGGTCAATTAACTGGACGGCTGGGGTTAAAATAGTAGGATGCTTGGGTCAATATACTCAACGTTATCATGTTGGTCGTTTTTTTAGTGTTGGTGTGTTGTCTTGAGTGATTGGAAAAAAAATCCCAAAAAATTCAAGAATGGCTGTCATTTATTTTAGTGTTTTTGTGTTGTCTTGAGCAGTAGCGTAGCCAGGATCGTCTCATGGGGGGGGGGGGGGGATGTTTCAAATTTTTACCCGGGGACAAACTTTCGATTTGCACCCCCCCCCTTCAAACTTTCGATTTACACCCCCCATCATACTTTATATATATACCGATGGGTCTATAGGGGGGGGGGTTAATGATCCCCCCTACCCCCCCCCCCCCTGCCTACGCCACTGGTCTTGAATGATTGGAAAAATACGAAAAACAAATTCAAGAATGGCTGTCATATTTTTTTAGTGTTGGTGTGTTGTCTTGGTGGATTTGAAAAATTCGAAAAAAATATATTCAAGAATGGGTGTCATTTTTGTAAGGGTTCAATCCTTCGATGGTGATCTTACACTAAGCAAGCAGCAGGGGTACTTTTTCCGTTAACGTGTACCATGCCGCAATTTCTCGGAGTTGAGAATTCCGACCCCTAAAACCTTAACCCTATTAACTCTTATCTCACCCCCCCCCCCCCCCAAACTTAATTAACCCAAGCTTAACCCCCAAGAGCCAACACTAATCAATAAACAGTTGAATGTTTTTGTGACAAGCTTAAAGATGTCTAAACCGCGGAGCCGGCGCTACATTTTAAAAAGAAATATTTTGTGACGAATCGGTCCAACTAGGATTTGACGGGGATTATTGATATCAATTATTCGATACAAGAGCAAAAAAAAAAAATAACCAACTATAAAACCAATACGGCTGCCTTTTAATTCACATTCATGCCGAGAACAAGGTTTCAATTATAAATCAGCGATCTCCCTACCCAACCGAATAGAGGGGAACTAGGAGAACAATAAACACCAAAGCTTTAATGGAACAATGCATCTGACTGGATTGGCTAAAGAGGTGACGTTTTAATCAAAATGAGAAAGGGGGGGGGGGGGACGACAAAATGTAGCCATTATTGCCAGAAGTTGTGTAATTTTTTTTTCGGTGATAAAACTAAATTGGCTGGATTTTTTTTCTGCTTCCTTATCTCACGACTTCCTCCCTCTCCTCACCCCCCCCCCCCCAACCCCTCGAGTGATTGTGTCAACACGTGGTGTGCTCCCTTGTCACGTATGGAAGTGCAACGTCCCATTAGCGCGAGCTAACTGCGACACACGTTATGAATAATCTCCAAACGGAAGGAAATAAAACAAGAAAACATAAAAAAAAGAGCTCATGCCTCGCCCATAAAACTTGGTCAGGAAAAAAAAAGGAAACAAAACATATAATCAAGTAAAGTACACCGAATTCTGTGATAGAATCGGAATCTTTTAATGACTCACTGTATCAATTAATAAATCTGGTTTGTGCTGATTACATAACTTACTTGGTTTGTGCGAAAAATATCATGAGCCTGGTTTGTGCGTGATATAGCATAAACCTGTTTTGAGCTGATTACATAAACAAAACCTTGTTTGTGAGAAATATATACCATAAATCTGGTTTGTGCGAAATATATCATAAGCCTGGTTTGTGTGTAATATATCATAAACCTGGTTTGAGCTAAATACATAAAAACTGATTGAGCTGGTTACGTAAAACATAGTTTGAAAAGACAACATAACAAATCTGGTATGTCCTAAATAGGCCTTACGTCATAATCATCGTGTTAATTACGCCCTAAACATGGTTTTTAACTAATTAAACCATACGCATGTTTTGTGCCGAGAACACAGTGGCAAGCTAAACCAAGATGTTATAATGTGTTGTTTTTTTTAACATCGTGCTTGTAGTCCTTCAGCCAGAAGGGTAGATTAGTATGTTAGTCGAAGTGGCAGGACACGTTGTTGATGTAGAATGATGGCGGAGACTTGGCCGAAGCATCAGTTACAGTAGTCCTTATAAAAACGTGAGTATAAAAAAAATAGTATCTTTTTGAGCCAGGCCAGCAGATCTGCTTGTTGTACTCAACGACGATTAGTATCTCTATGAATGTAAACACAAGATCGGATGTTTTTTTTGTTTTTGTTTTTACAAATGATACTTCAAACGTATTGAAATTCGTGACTACGAAAATCGAGGCTAGATACAAAATAACGAATATTGGACATTTAGAATTAAATTACAACAACCTAGACAAAGACGAGCATTATTTTATTCTTCTGTAAGAGCGGTAAACCGAATTTTATAATCTTCTCTTTTCTTGATATTAAGAAACTTACGATGTCAAACGAAACTTGTTAAGACAAACCCGCAACCAGCGTTTGGTTTTACGTACATTGTTCAAAAATCTCGCTCGACCATTCCCCCCCCCCCCCTATTTTCTCTCCCGTCCAGCGTTCCAGTTTTCCCAAGATCGATAACTAGATTTGCTTTGATGACTAATGTCCCCTTAACATGCATCAACTTTGGCCGGGAGAATTGTGTCGACCCCCTCCTTCCTCCCCCACAATCGACACATTGCCCCCCCCCCCCCCTCCCAAGCTGCTCAGGTTCGGAGGAAGCGCGCTTTGTTTACTCCCAGAATTGTGTCCCCTTTTTTGGGGGGCGGACACAGTGCTGTGCCCCTGCGTCGTGCTTTGTTTACTTCCGCATTAGCCCTCGTCGAGCGAGCGGTGCCACACAAAAAACACAACATCACCAGCCCGCACCTTGTAATGGGGATAATCGCCGGCAGATAACACGACGCCTTTTCATCATAATACACAACCGATTAGTCCCCCTCGTGACAACAACCGTTTGCCCTAACAAAACAGCGGTACGCATTCTTTTACAGCAGAACGGCAATGCCCCCCCCCCCCCCGGATATTCTTAGTTCACTTGCACTGCATCCTAGTCTTCCTGATGCGGACGTGTTGGTAGTCGTTTGTTTATACCCTAACCCTGCTCCTCGCCTGAATCTTAAACCGCTCACAACAATACCAGCACAAAAATAAAGATATTGTACTGCTCTGTCGCGAAACTTACAAAAAAAATTCCCCCCCCCCCACTTCTAAGAAAATACCCAATCATGTTTAAAACATGAAAGATGACTTTTAAAATCTGTGTAAAGATTTTGTTTTATTGTAGTCTGTCTATTCCCTTTAGGTATCTCCTCACTCTAAAAACCAGCATGAATGCATCTCAAGTATATCGATCCAGAGCTAACCCTGTACAACTGCTAGCACACAAGGTTATCTTAGGGACCAAATAGCTGGACAATCAGCAATGACCGCCCATAACGTAACGCATAATGTAGGAAACCACCAAATCACATTGAACCCTATTTCAATATTCTTTAAAAATCTTAATTGATCATAATTACCCATGAAGCTTTTAAAATTAACTTAAGAGAATGCTAGATACACATTTGCCTATTCCACTACTAGTGCCCGATGTTTGATAAGTCTCTAATTAGATTTGCTACTATCTAATTAGATAACTACTAGATAAATACCATACGGTTTCTTAATTTACAATACAGCAATACATTTTTACATTACATTTTAAGCATCTAGTCATATAACCGAGTCGGTTCCTTAAATTTATAATAAGGTAATACATTTCTACATTACATTTTAAAGATCTATTTACATTACAGAGAAGGTTCAGTAATTTATAATGCGGTACTACATTTCATTAATAGATGTCATTCATTGAAGAGATTGGGTAGCAAAACAGCGGCGTCTTAATTTGCAATACAGTACTACTTTTCATGAATAGATGTCTTACATGTAAGATATCTAGTCACATAATGTAAACGGTTTCTTAATTTGCAATCCAGTGTAACATTTCATTAATAGATGTCATACATCTAGGCGGTCTCGTCGCAAGAACAGAAGCTTCAGTTATTTAACGAAGGAATACATCTTTGCTATGTGTTCGCGAGAGCCTCTATGTAAACAAGCGGGTCTCGATCATACACATCTCCACGTACTAGTGAGAAAAGGTCTGGTTGATAGCACAGTTATTTAAACATCTCAATAAACATCTATCTCAACATATCTGTTTGAAATGATAGTTGATTTTTTCCCCCTTATTTCTAAAAGGGGGGAGTTTAAGAGTGACGTTCCTTTGCCTTCGTACTCCAAAAACATTAAAGTATCTTTTTATCTCCCTTGAGATTGTGGCCCCGGCTCGACTGATTAATAGAGCAGATATTTTCACGCCCCTCGCTGACGTCTTTTCGCGAGTTCTCCCCCTTCATGTCTATTTTTGTTTTAAACAAGGAAAGCAGAAATTGGGGCTAACTTCGTTTAGACGAGACGGGGGGAGAAAAAAAAAAGAAAAAAAAAATCCGCTGGAGTTATCATTCCTTGCTGTACACAGTCTTAAGATGTTAAAGAGTTATCGCGCTTTAGAGTACACACAGCGAGTGAGCCGTGGGTTCAAAGTGCAGACATTATCTTGTTATTTGTACACTTGTGAGTTATTTTGACAGACAAACGCCCTACACACGCCCTCCTACTCCATTTTTTTTGGACACCAAGTCACCCCCCCCCCCTCCCACCCCCAGGCATGAAACGCCGCACCCTATGACCCACGGACATTCAAGTCCAAAAGGTCGAGCCGCCTGACAAAGAATTCAGAGAATGACCCCCACGACGTGTTTGTCTTATGGGGGCCAGTGTTTTAAGCCCATCTCGTTTGTGGTTGGGGGGGGGGAGCGTTATGATGTCTAGCTTGTAATGGCTTGTACCCAATGTCGAGGGCAGCTATGTGTACCGAGGGCACGGTTAAACAACTATGTCGCGAATGGCCCGTTTAACATAGCAGGTATGTGCCAAATAGATTGCAATGTCCTACAAGAGGTTTGTGATATCCTACTCAAGATCAGAACGGCCGGTTTCGATCTGTTCTCTCGTGTTATCGTAGTCGGTATTTTTGTGCAGGTTATTCTGTTAAGGTTTAAGGTCAAGAATAAGGTTCCGGTAAAACTAATGTGGAAATGGTTAGGGTAGGTCATCGACCTATCCATGTGTATATTAATGTTTCATGTATGGCGGAATTATTGTAAAGGGCAACATTTCCTGATCAGTAGTGTTGTCACTTTAGTGGTCAGTGGTTTATATTTATGTCTCATTTTTATGGCACGTCCATTAAGATTGTCCAAAGTGATCGGTCTTTAGTGAAAGTGTTGAAGTCTTTGGGAAATGTACCTGAATCTTCAGACAACATACCACAATCTTTAGACATATGTATACCAAATGACGTTTCCCAATTTGCAGTGGGACGTACCTTAGTTTTTAGACAACGTACTTTTATTTTTAGACAACATACCACAATCCTCAGACAACGTACCCAAATCTTCAGTGAAACGTACTTCAATCTTCAGACAAAATATCCCCATCTTCAGACAACCAATCCCAATTATTATAAATCATACAGAAATCTTTATGAACGTATCACAATCTTCAAAGAAACGTGCCTCAATCTTTAGCCAATTATCTCAATCTATAGACAAACGCATACCAAACACCCCAATCTTAAGACAACCAATCCCAATTATCATAAATCATACAGAAATCTTGACAAATGTAACTCAGTCTTCAAAGAAACGTACATCAAGCTTCAGACAACGTATCCAAATCTTCAGAGAAACGTACTTCATACGTAATCTTCACAAACTACCTCAATATTCACAACCGTACCTCAATCTTCCCAACCGTACCCCAATCTTCCCAACGGTACCTCAATCTTCAAAAACGTACCACAATCTCCCCAACCGTACCTCAATCTTCCCAACCGTACCCCAATCTTCCCAACCGTACCTCAATCTTCAAAAACGTACCACAATATTCACAAACGTACCACAATCTTCCCAACCGTACCACAATCTCCCCAACCGTACTCCAATCTCCCCAAACGTACCCCAATCTCCCCAAACGTACCTCAATCTTCAGCGTGTTACTGCCCCGAGGCGCTTGCCCCTCCGTGTGTCCAGCCTTCTCGTGACCTTCCTGCGGGGTCAGGTCGTCAAGGTTGCTCACCTTGAACATCCTTGTGGTGTCGGTCATCATGTTTTCTGGTGGGAGGTCAACTGGTGAGGGGGAGGGGGGTAGAATAAAATCACCGAGTTAAATTACATCGCCACTTGTACAACACATCAAAGTTTATAAACAAGACAAATCTTAACAAGACGAGCATTCAAAGTTAAATACATCTTAACACGTTAACAACATACCTATTAAAAAAGGAAACTATATCTGCGTTAAAAATATATTTAAAAATTTGGACAGCTGGAGAGAGAGAAAAAAAATCCAATTCCCGCAACACAAACACCATCATCTTGACGCATTACACCATCTAAGCACGGAGTTGTTTCTTTTTTTAAAACCGCTGAGATTTTTTTTTTTTTGTAGCACATGGCGTAGATAATTGCCAGAAGTCGACGCCAAGCTTTTAACAACACTGCAGCTCAAGGCGCATAAGGTGAACGTTTTTCCCCACCTCCGAGGAATCTTCATTGATAACCTGCAACACACCTGTGAATAGTTCGAGGTATCGGACTTGTGGTCTCCAGTGGGGTGTGGGGATGGGTAACGGTCTCGTGTTCTCTATTCGTGGTACCTCCAGAAAAAAAGTATCTTTTTTTAAAAAGCGGCACTTGTTGACTAGACTATCCCGTGTTTTCGCAAAGAAAACTTAATTTAAGTAGGCCTACCTAACTTTAACACTAACATACTTAAAAAAAAAAAATATATATAGCTATGTATGGCTAGTTTCTAATTCTTTAGAGTGCGTTATTTTACAAATCACATTGATATGGTACATAGGTATCTGACTCACGTTAGGGAAAGTAAAGACAACTGGGCAAAGTGCTGACCACGCTATCCCTTCATATGCCGAAGTCACAGAAACAAGTTGAACTCTACTTCACTTGCCCCGTGGATCCCCCGGTTCGAAAAGGGAATTTTACAATCTGGTATAGACTTAGCCTTACTGTTATCATTGAATAGCTGGTAGTGTTAGAGATAATGATCAAACACCTTAACCTCACACTGACTAGAGTACCAGTAGCAGCAACGATGGTAGCGATTCCATTAAGGTGGTACCACCAAACCGATAAACACCATAGACATTTTTTTAGTTGTCTTCTTTCTTCTTCTTCGTTCTTAATTTTAATGTTGGAAGAGATCCCCTCCAGCACAATTAAGTATACGTGTCAACTGGTTAAGTGCCATTGAGGCCATTGACTCCGATTTCAGCCTGCTTTTCTTTTTGGATTTGCTTCCATAGCCTTTGTCCAACCAAGAACAAGCTACAAGGCAGCAGTTGTTTGATTTTGTAGTTGTCTCTCCTAGAAGAGTGGTTGTCCCCAGCTAACGAGCCTCATCCGCCCGAGGATTCGAACTCAAGACTTTTAATCTAAAATATGGAATAAAAAATCCTACGAAACAAATGTTAATAAACGTACACTTCGAACAAATTAAGATGGCACCATAAGAAAAACAACGAAATACACCAACCCATTTGTATTTTTAAAGTTATCTAAAATCTGGAATTAAAAATCCTACAAAACAAATGTTAATACACGGACACCCCGAAGCAAATAACAAACAATCCAAATCGTTTAATTTGCCAGGCTGGAGTGCTGATTGTTATGATGCAGGGGTACCCAGGTAAGGAAAAAAAATTGGCACCGTATTTTCCTGGCATATCATGCTTATGCTTCCTGCCAATTGAGAATTCAGGTCACCCCCCCCCCCCCCCTCTCTTCACCTCTAACTCTAAGCAGAAGTCATGTTAAAATAATACTTTTTTTAAACCTCAAGTTTCTAACCAATGGGTGACTTATTATTTATTATTATTGTTGTTGTTTAGTGCGCATGCGCAGTGACAAGCAACGGCGTTGGCATTGGCATCTGCATGTGACAGCGTTAAATGTCAGACATGTCACAATCGTTTTGCCGCGCCCTGGTGCCAGATAAAGGGGGAGTAACCCACTTCATGAAAACAGGGGAGGTTATAACATCACAGTGTAATGGCGATTTAAGTACTTGTTTAATGTAAGGGCGATTTAAGTACTCGGTTAATGTAAGGGCGATTTAAGTACTTGTTTAATGTAAGGGCGATTTAAGTACTTGTTTAATGTAAGGGCGATTTAAGTACTTGTTTAATGTAAGGGCGATTTAAGTACTCGTTTAATGTAATGAAGATTACAGAATACTTCTTAAATGTAAGGGTTACTATAGTACTCGTTTAATGTAAGGACGATTTAGGTACTCGTTTAATGTAAAGAAAGATTACAGTGCTCGTTTAATGTAAGGAAGATTACAGTACTCATTTAAGGTTAGAGCGACTTAAGTACTCGTTTAATGCAAGGACGATTACAGTACTCGTTTAATGTTACAGCGACTAAAGTACCCGCTTAACTGTGATTGCGGTTCAAGTACAGGATTAACGTAAGGTCGTCACAAGTGCTACAATTTGAGGGTGATTCACTGACTAGCTATGTGAGTGCCAATCCACATTTTGGCTGTAATTTTCATGTCGACGGGTGCAACCGTGATCAGTGTAAGCATCTACACACCAACTAGCCTTCGATAAAACTGTACAACTAATTATAAAAACACCCAATTAAAAAATCTAAAAAAAAAAAATAATAAAAAAAAAAAAAAAAAAAAAACTCGGGAAAATATGCACTTAAAACAAGAGCTGTAATTTTTTTTATTTATATACAGCTGGGGTTGTTCTTGATTCGCTGCGAATAGTCGCTCTCGTGTTTAATTGTTGCAAGCATGCCCTGCTAATTGAGAAATGAAGAGTTCCTCTTCTTCTACGTCTACTCTCCACCCCCTCCCCCACCCCACCCCCACACACTTACACCACCCACGTGAAATAAGAATGGCCTGATAAAAGATAAGCCAAGAGATTTCCGATCCCCGGACCCGCCGTTCCCGCGATTAATTATGAATTGAATGGGTAACTGTCTGAGGGCACGCGAGCTTATCACACGTTACACAAGTATGGGGAGGGGGGGGGGTCGATGTAGGAGGTGGGGTGGGGTGCTGGTGAGGCGTGGGGTGGTAGCTGTGGTACTGGTAGTGGGGGGGTCGATGTTGGAGGTGGGGTGGTAATGGGGTGGTAGTGGTGGTACTGGTAGTGGGGGGGGGGTCGATGTTGGAGGTGGGGTGGTAATGGGTTGCTGGTGTGGGATGGTAGGGTTGGTACTGGTAGTGTGGGGGGGGGGGTCGATGTTGGAGGTGGGGTGGTAATGGGATGCGGATGTGGGGTGGTAGTGGTGATCGATGGTGTACTGGGGTGCTGGTGAGTGTGTGTGGGGGTCGATGATGGAGGTGGGGTGGGGTGCTGGTGTGAGGTGGTAGTGGTGGTACGGGTAGTGGGGGGGGGGGTGGTCGATGTTGGAGGTGGGGTGGTAATGGGGTGGTAGTGGTGGTACTGGTAGTGGGGGGTCGATGTTGGAGGTGGGGTGGTAATGGGTTGCTGGTGTGGGGTGGTAGGGTTGGTACTGAGTGTGTGTGTGTGTGGGGGGGTCGATGTTGGAGGTGGGGTGGTAATGGGATGCGGATGTGGGGTGGTAGTGGTGATTGATGGTGTTTCTGAAGTGCTGGTGTAGGGTGGGGGAGTGTGATTGCGTTGGTTAATGTTGAAGTGGATTGTAGCAGCGGTGATGTGAGATGGTATAAGTGTGGGGGGGGGGGGGGGGTGATAGGTGATGTGTGGGGATACTGGAATTGTAGGCTGATGATGGTGTTACTGGTGTTGGAGAATCTAGTGCTACGAAGATACCGGGTTTACGCAGCTGCCAATATAAACCTCAAACACCAAGACACCATTAACCAATACATTCTACATACGACATAAATAACCTAATTTTAACTATAGGCGGTACATATCCTTTAGCTATACACCACGCGTATCAACTGGGTTTCTTTTAGTCATTTTATCCGGGTAGGAGTGGGGGGGGGGGAGAGTCTTGAAACATTCAAGGAGCTCTTGAAACTTCCGGGGGTCGGGAAATGATTAAAGTTATATATTTTCTATACAAATCACACACACCCACACACATATACATTTCGTTTGGGGTGGCGGAGCACGTACTCCTGGGGAGAGGGAGGGGGTCAGTACCCCTTCCTCGCCCGAGAGAGACGCCTGAATGAAACACGGCGTATCAACTGGTCTGCCTGCCTTTGTGGTCGGTGTTCTTAACGCGACTACCTCCTATCTATCCTCATCCCATCCCTAAACCTTTCAATCAACGTGCATCCGCTGAAATTCAATGTACGGCATCTTAAAGATGCGAACCGAATTTTGCACACCGAGTTAAGGTGAAGAAAAAAAAATATTAAAGAATAAAAAAATAAAAAAACACCGCATACTTACCTCTCAGAGGGGAGACATGAGGCTTCTCCTCAAGGCAAATTGATAACTCCTGCAAGCAGAAAAGTTACATGTAAATATAAACAATCATGTCTACATTTCATAGGCTCGGGTTTATTTTAAGAAAAAGGGGGAGGGAGGGGCGAACACGGAGTGAGCAAGTGTTCCCCAATCCCCGGGTGAAGATTAACGTGAAAAAAATGCATGAGCGACTTAAAGGTGAGCAGTGGCGAAGGGTTTTAACGTTGTGGCGAGTGTTGAGACTCGCGAGGCGAAAATGTATTAACGAGGGGTGTAATCTGTAGCAATAACTGCGTGCGTGCGTGGCGTAATTGGTTGGTGACTCAATTTTTACCTGGGGGGATTTGTTTTTAAATCTAGAGTCGATCGTGTGACTCAGTTCGTACCGGGAGTCAGGCATGTAACTCAATTGGTAACAAGAGTCACACGAGTGGCTTATGTCGTATCTAGAATCAGCCATCTGACTCAATTCGTAGAATAGGGCATTTGAATCAACTCGTACCTCGAGTCAGACATGTGAATCAGTTCGTACCTAGAGTCAGACATGTGAATCAGTTCGTACCTAGAGTCAGACATGTGAATCAGTTCGTGCCTCGAGTCAGACATGTGAATTAGTTCGTTGCTAGAGTCAGCCATGTGAACATTTCGTACCTAGCGTCAGACTTGTGAATCAGTTCGTACCTAGAGTCAAACATGTGAATCAGTTCGTACCTAGAATCTGACATGTGAATCAGTTCGTGCCTCGAGTCATACATGTGAATCAGTTCGTACATAGAGTCAGACATGTGAATCAGTTCGTAGCTAGAGTCAGCCATGTGAACATTTCGTACCTAGAATCTGACATGTGAATCAGTTCGTGCCTCGAGTCATACATGTGAATCAGTTCGTACATAGAGTCAAACATGTGAATCAGTTCGTACCTAGAGTCAGACCACTCAATTCATACCTAGAGAAGTAAGGCATGTGAATTATTTCGTGCCTAAACTTACGCATGCAACAATGCATTTATATAAACAACAGATCGTCGACTCATTTTGCTATAACTATAACCCTGATTGTAAGGAATCCGGTAGCAATATAAATTTCACACGATCCATTTCGCCTGAATGTAAGGGGGTGGGAGTGGGCGTATGTGTATGTAGAAAGGGGGGGGGGGGGACAATCTATAAATAATGACCCGATTTAATTAAAAAACAAGTTAATTAAAAAGTCTAGTGACATTTATGCGCAATTTCCTTATGTTATCTAAAAATAGCTCTGTCGTAGCGTAAATCAAGAGCAGGGTTAGTAAAACCATTGGTTAAAATACATGTTTTATATACAATAGAGTTACATGACTAAAAACCATTGCGCGCCTAGCTACTGAACGTGATGACGCAGCCATTGAACGTGATGGCGCAGCTATTGAACGTGGTGACGCGTGTGGTGTGGTTGGATAAAAATGCCTACTAATTCGGTCCAAATTTTAATTAATTCAAAAAAATTTTTGTGACCGAACGAAAGGATATTTTTGAAAACTTTCTTCGGCAATATTGTTCTAAATTATGGCAGGAATCGATTGGTACATGTTTCAAGTCGCTAAGTGGTCTGGTTGCCGAGATATGGGCCAAAAACTGCATTTTTTCGAGGTTTTTTGGCTTTTCCGGAAAATCCATGAAAGAAACCCGGAATTGTTTTGGCCTATGTTCATCCTCGTAACTTGCTTAACATAATTGCTTTTGGAACTAGTCCTCGATATTGCTTCGTTGAGGAGGAGATACGACTTAAAGCTGCGGACACACATCCAATGTTCCCTCTAAGGACCAAGAGTGTGTGTGCAAAAAATATGTTGTGTGCGCGGTGCTAAAAATGACTTGGGCAAGTTAATATGTATGTTTATTAAGCTTCATGCAATTAAGCAGAGTAATGAAGGCATGCATCTTGATAAATTAATAGTATAATGTGTAGGACTAATGAAACGTATGCTATTAAAAGAAGATACAAATCCCATCTAAATAAAATAAAATACACAACAGAAACTTTTAGAGTTATACTTAGACAACAGGTTATATGGTCGACTTACTATGTTAGTGTAATGCAATCGTATGTTAAAAATGTTAATACCATAACGGTAATACAAATACAACAGTTTAACAAGTAGACCATTTTAAAGAGCTGACTTAAAAACAAAATTAGCTAACCTTTCAGTGGCATTTATTGCAATTTCTCGCGTCTAACCTTGCCTTGCTTCCACACCTTATATGCTCTGTTTAAATACACATCCTCTCCAGCATTTAGATATAATTTAATTCGCATTAGATTTCCCAAATGTGTGGTTTCAAGTCTATTTCGTTCTTGCACTTTAATGCTGTTCATAAGACTAAAACCTCGCTCGCAATCAGCGCTGGATACTTGAAAAGTACAGCATATGTCAGTTAACTTTGCCAATGAGCTAAATTGTTCATCATTTAAAGCTACTCCTGCGTTTTCAGTAAGTGCATTTACTGAACCTGGTTTGAGTTTTTCACTGATCTGAAATTTGAAGTCATTTATTGCGTGATAATTGACTCTTCATTTGTTGTTTGTAACACGTCTTTGTACTTTACGCACAGTTCTTTGATATCTTTGACGCCAAACTCAAATGCGCAATTTCTAAAACCAGTAGGATCAAAAGCTGAAGAAAACTGCAGTTCATCTCCTGGAAACCTTACATTTAAATGATCGCAGACCGATCGTATAAACTGTGTGATTTGTGTTGTGTCGATTCCTACGTTTTCATTCAAAATTTTCTTGGCTTTATCATTCCAATAAACATCTTCACTCAGGTATTGTGCTTCTAATTTGCGTATTTTAGAAATGCAAAATTGATGTGCTTCAATAGATGATAAATTATTTCGCTGTAACAACATTGATAGATTAGCTAATTCATTAACGGTATAAAGCGCAATTTGATACAGGGGATCTTTTAATGATTTCAAAACATAACAACAAACAGGATCATTGTAATCTTGGACTTGTTCTTCACAGTAAGTAGCTAAAGCATCAATATTTCTAACAAAAGCACTGACAGCAAAGTGACATTACAACCAACGAACTTCATAAATTGGTCGAAAAGAAATTACATCCATATCATGCACCTTGGCCAATTCTTCAAGTTCGCCCTTTTTTACTGAAGATCGAACACAGTGCTGTTCAACAAGATGGGGGACCTTAGCCTTCAGTAAAGCAGCTAATCCCTTCCTACGGCCTAACATAACCGATGCCACGTCTGATGTTATCATTACCATGCGGTTTCATTTCAAGTTGATGTTCAGTGTAGTACTGTGTTATGGCTGCCTCCAGAGCTGAGGTATCACACGCGGTAAGCTGAATTATTCCACCAGAAACGGTTTTGTAGAATAAAGAATTGACTGGACGAAATTTAAAATAATTTATAAAGGATTAGCATTTTACGTACAATTATGTCAGTACTTTCATCAACTATAAGCTTGTGGAACGATGCTACTCGAAGTTCTGTCAGTGTGTTCTTTACAACCACCTCGTTGATTGCTTCAACAAACCCAAAGGCGTAATTCTTACTTCGCCAACTGCCTGGTATAGAAACATACTTCACCATGTGGTTATGAATCAGTTGTACCGACAGCATCGAGGCGTGTATCCTAATGGCGAGAAGAACATTATCCATTATGATTCGAACTTGATCCTTGTTTGACCGCTGGCGCTCATTTTGTTCAACTCGTTCTTCTCGCTCAGTGTTAGTTTCAAGTACTAGCAGCAGAGAACTTACACTTCAGATGCTTCCTAATTCAACTGAAACATTCTTAGAATATGGCGTTTCGGTTCTCACTTTAACTTTGAGCCATTCCAGTTTAAACGAATCTCTCGCTTTTTTTTTGCTGAATTGTTTTACCGCTTGTTACACACATTTTTTTCTTTTCAACGTGTTCAAATAACACAGAGTAGTAAACTTTTATTCCTTATTTATTAAACCAGTCTGTGAATACTGAAACAGTTCGATCCAGGTGCACGTAATAATCCCAAGAATTGGATATACAGTATATAAATCCTTAAACCAAAGAGACCAAAAATACATCCACCGTTAGAATCGTAGAATTTGCATCTGACTTGAGTAAATCGTGAAAGTATCAAGGAGGTGGGTGGGGTTGGGAGATGGGGGAGGGCGGTGGCGATAGAAAATAGAACCTTGCATGGTCAGCTACAAGCCGTAATCCCTTTCAGGTGTCAGCTAGGGCCAGTTTTGGGGTAAACCATTAAATCAAGCAGAGGGACTGTCACCCAGACCTCACATCGGAACCCGCCCCGCTCAGTTTAGAGTTGTCATTAACTGGACCTGTGGTATGACAACCGAGGTCACCCCCTCCCCCCAGTCAATGATATCTGTGGTTTATGCCCCAAAACACAAAGACTGTTCGTTTAAGAAAACAGGCACTAAAAATGTCGCTTAATTCAAGCCTCTGGCCACAATTTTTCTAGTGAATCAGACTTGCCCGACGTTCTGATAATCTGTGCGCGGCATCAGAAAATGTCTGCGCGGCACATTTGAAAGTACTGCGCGGCCGCGCAGCTTAGAGGGAACACTGCACACATCCATTCATTCATACATTCATACATCCAGAAATGACGGGTTAATAAACGCAATTCTCCAGAATGGAAATTGCGCTAAAAAAGAGAACTCGTCTATTGATAATAAAGTGTAGGCAATTTGTAGGCAATTACATCTAATTTAACTGTTTGAGTTGTCGTTTCTAAGCAGGAAAGAAGACATTAATCCGAATAGTGAATAGATGGGCTAGGGTTGTACTGATCTCATTTAGATTGTAAAGGAGTGAGGGAAGGGGGGGTTAAGAGGTCGGGGAGTGTAGGGTGGGAGGGGTGGATGGGTGGGATTCAAACGGACTCCCAACACGTGGTTCTCTTATCGTGAGAGCAGATAGACACGATGCGAGCACGTTCAGGCCGGCGAACAATAGGTCGGCATACCTGGGCCAGACAGGTGAGGCAGGTGCTACACGATTGGACTCAGATACTCAC